ACTCTTGAAAATTTAGATCTATAACCTGATTTGTTTACATTATAATTTACACAACATAAGACACGCGAGGAGGAAGCATAATGTCTATATATTTGTTTAGTACTGTGATTAATGGGAAACAACCCTCATTGTACCATTATCAAAATTCATGTATATTATCAAAACTCAGCTAGAGATGGACAGGCATCTGTGAAAATATAAACTAGTCACCCCTAGCCGAATTTATTGACAAAGAGATAAGATTTCGGAAACAGGAAACAGGAAACGGGGGTAAGCTTAGATTCAGCTAATGAATTAAGAGCGGCTGCTACTAACTAGTATATCCGGCGGTTATGACACGATCCGATCGCTACCTTGGTTCGAACAATGTGTTTATTCTTGTTGTATATTTGTAATGTCAAAGGCAAAGCATAGTAAATGAAATCACAATAAAGGAATGAGAAATTCATAGTTGCAACACCAGTTGACAACTTGAAATAAATTAACAAGTCAACACATTTTTCTAAAAAAGAAACTAGATATTACTTGAGATCAAGTCAACTTTACAAGTTGAAATAAAATGGATGGCTAAGGTGGGCTGGTGATAAAAACGAGCTGTTGGACGTTGAAAGATTGTCAGAGTTATCTCGCTTCTTTCGATATGATAAACACTCTCGATCAATTTGAAATGCTAAACTGGTAATGCAAACTTGTGTAGTACGTTGAACAAACTCGTTGTACAAAAGCAAAGGAGAAGACAGCTTTATCACCCATTAATAAAAGAAAGTACTACACTAATTATGATTAGGGCATACATTTTTTTTTTAGCTTAGTCAATATCGATGACCATATACAGTAACATGAGTAAGTTCAATTTCGCCGCGGGCTTTTATTTCGCGGTTGTTACGATCAACTCGCGGGGATGAAATTTCACACATCTTGACCAGATACAAATATGGGACAAACAAGTGAGTAGCGGATCAACTCCTTTTCTAATTTACGACTGTAAATATATATACTAACGGAATTCATAATTTAATATTAATATTTGCTGGGTTTTTAATTTCTGGCTTTCATTGATTACCACAACAACATTAAATTAAAATCCGCGCCAATAATACCAACAAAACAGCCGTTAACGTTTTCGCCCGTCATAGGAAAATTCCCAAATAATAATAATAAAAATAAAAATAATAATACGACATATGCAGAGAATAGGGTAATCATAATATTTTCATATTTACACATTAGATCCACATTAGGAATCCCAGTACCACTCCACTGTGGTTTTTCCAATATGCAGTAGCCTCCCCTTAACTTCCGTTTAGATATAGTTGTAGAAGAATTGGGCCAGGACGCTTTTCTAGACCGTTTCCTCGACGCTTTCCTCGCTCAATCGCTTAGAGCGATAGTTTTGTAGTCTGAAGTTCAGGGTTCGAATTCGTGTCTAGCCCCGAGGTGTTTTTTTTCTAAACTCGGAACACTGTTGGTGATTATATTTTGTTTATTTCATCTTTATTATTTCTCATAAAAGTCCCGCTGGATATGATTTTCCTTTTAGAAATGATTTGTCAATTACCATTACTATGTTACATTTTTTTTGCATTTTATTTATAAATACTTTTTTTTTAAATCCTTGGGTAAAACACTCTACCCTTGTTGCTCAAATCCATCTTGATAGGAGTGTGATATGTTCTGGGTCGAGTATTACGTCAGTTCTGTAGTATTCAATTCATAATACTCTATATATATGAGGCGATGGAAACACAGAATCAAACCAAGAGGAACACGTATACGACCGCCAGCACGCGCTAAAACGTACACACTCACACATACTGTGTAAAAAAGGGAGAGACATGGTAGCCTGTTACAGTAGCTGTGTGCAATATCAATGGGTTTTTTTTTTTATTAATTTCAATTTCTCAATTTATTACTTTTTGAAAGTCTGAAATGTAAATATGCTTGCACAGGTTATCAATTACATTGTACTCAAAAATAATTTATTCTTATAAATGAACTTATTGACGCACCATCTATGGTGTCATGGTAACAATAATAAATACATTTGTAATTGTATCCGGTGCTTTCTATTATAACGATAAACAATGGATGACAGTTCATATAAATATCAGTCATTAATCATATAAACACGACAAATAGGTCTCCTTTCCTTTAAAATATATTGACATTACACCATTAGTTCATTTGATAATCGCATGAATGTATCTTCATTTTGCTATGACAATTGATGATATAACGAAGAAATGATGACATCCACATATACATGTTACCATAGTTATATTAGCATGCGACGTGAATACGCGAGGGCTTAGTTTATACAAAATATGCAGGAGTCTTAAAATATTTATCATAAAATAATCACAAAACACACGATGGCCGATAACGGACTGTCAAAACGTTGCATGACTAACAACTTTTGTACCTAAATATGTTACGACATCAAGTACGAACAGCTGTAAGTTACAGCATTTTATTGTTCACATTACAACTATAAAACTTTGCAAAAAAAAAAAAAGTCGTCACTCGCAGCTTTTTGTACATAATTGTTTAAACACAATAAAGAACAGTAAGCTGCGAGTGACGACTGAATTTACCTAATTCTCTACTTTCATGCTGAGCATTAATACTCTAGCTGTGGTCCTTTGTCCTTATTGTCATTAACTCATTCACCCCTGAAGACACATTTGAACTCTTCCAATTCAAAAGTTGGAATAGTTCATTATGAAACGTCAGGGGTGAATGAGTTAAGGAAGCCAAAATAAATGCTCTGGTACTACATTGTAACTAAGCATTTAGTGACTCAAAACAACCCCCCCCCCCCCCCCCCCCATAATTAATGACAAAAACCTTTTGAGTCTTTAGGAGTCTCCTTTACTGTATGGTTTAACGATTGTGATTTGAATGGCTATAATTCGGCTCAGGTACGAACACTTGACAGGAGAGGTATGAGAATAATTCGTAATACATTCCTTTATATACATAACGAGGCATATATACTATGTGTCACTGTCCAATATAAACACGTTATCGCGAGCAAACTTTATTGAAGACATGACCTTTAGACGACTTTCTACGCTCTTTCATCTATACATAAGTGACAACGTCTTAGACAGTGTAATATACGTTATCAACAATGGAACCATCATTTGCTTATATGATAATGCTTTTATCTTCAGTGACGATGAATTTCCCATTTAACCCATGAATGAAATTATTTCTGAGCATGTCCGCGATAAAGTGCTTTTCACAAGGAAATAAATCAAAATCTGCTTAGTGCATAAACAATGGTCGTAGCCGAATCCCGCATTATTTATCTCCTTATCAGAATAATTAATCACCCACCCGATGTTACGGGAGGAGAAGGTAGTGGCGACAAGGATAGGGGGACACACAGCTTTTTTGAACCTAATTGTTGTGAATGATTATGAACAAAAATGCCGTCACTCGCAGCTTTTTGTTTTTAATTGTGTTTAAACAATTTTGCACAAAAAGCTACGAGTGACGGCATTATTGTACCTTTTTATGTTATATGTATATGTACAAAAGATGTTGTCAATAACAGCTGTTCAAATTTAATGTTGTAACAAATTAAGGTACAAACAGTCGTTAGTCAAGCAACATTTTGACATTTTTGTTGTTCATAGTTTTTATTCAATGAAAGTTTTTGACACTGTCATTATTTTATAATTAAGTACATGTGCAATCAGTGTGATATCCAATAGGACGTTGCTGTTTACTGACCAGCACTAGAAGTTCGCTGTCGGCCATCGTACGGAACAGATAAAGAAAAATGAACCTACTACTTTTTATGATAAAAATGATATACATCCATTTATATGTCTAGATGATTTGGTATCTAAATACCACACACATGGTGATATAATTGTCACGCGTGATTTGAATAGTAGAACTAGTGAGGCTGATGATTTTATTAGATTTGATCGATTAGGAGAATGTTCTGCCGATATGTCATCAAATATTTTTAATCATATGCCAGATGTTAACTACACATGTAAATCAGTTTTGTAGACAATTATTGGATGTTTGTTAATCAATCGGTGTTAAAATCGTTAATGGTAGACATCCTGGTGATCCTAAGAGAGACATTACATTCTATAATAAAAACGGAACTAGTCTTATTGGTTATGTTTAAGGTCAAGACAATAGGTAGATATTATGAAAACATTGACGACAGGTGAGTTTAGTCCCTTTTCTGATCTCGCAACGGTTAGGTTTTCATTGTGAAATAATTTTAAAGTAGTTGAAAATGAAAAAACAAAGTAATAATTTAAATGACAAGAGACAAACAAGTATAAAATTCAACGAAGAAAATAATAGTAGAATTTGTCATTTATTGCAAGAAAATATTGATAAGCTAATACAACCATGTGATCTACTGAATGTGACCAAGAAGAAATTGATAATTGGGTTAATAATTTTACAAGTATTTTTGAATTAGTTTCTTGTTCCTGAGTTTACCCGCACAAGTAGAAAAAAAAGCACAGGTAAGCTGACAAATGTTACAGTCAAATCCCACCTTTGCAAGAGAGTCTAACATTGTTTGCAAACCCTCTGGTGTTTCAGATATAATCACCATATCGTCTGCATCAAAAATAAAAACATATTGATAGCTCGTATTTCAATAGATGGACAATTATCTAATAAAAACTGCATTTCACAACTATTAACATAATATTTATTAATAATTGTTGAAACTTATTAATCAAGTCATAAGTACATGTCTATTCAAGTTTGTCAAAGACCGTGCGACAACAATTCCTATGAAAACTGTAAAACCGTTGTTGTATTTGTGTATATATGTGACTATCGCATATATACCTGGGCAAAAAATGTATATGCCTACAGGGGAGAGGGGAAGTCTGTCTTATATAAGTAATGTATATGGCTACCAAACAACAACATCAGGTTTTATTATGATAGTAAGGTAAACACGGGACAATAAACGTCATACTGACGTCTCTGGTTATTTTTAGACATGTTTATAGGACTGTCTAGTCGGGATGTACACTTGACATTTAGCTTATGAACATACCTAAACCGAAATTGTAAGTACTGTTTTCATAATTTATTTATCAAATCTGACGTTTGTTTTCCTACTTATGGACATGCTTTTTCTCCTTTTATTTCATAAATATTTATAATAATATAAAGTATAAAATACTGACATCTCGTATGTCTTGCCATTAACAAAATGCATCGGTGCGTGAATGTAAATTTTCCAGGCTTTAGCGGAACAAATCTAAGATTAGATTATGAATTTTTAGATATTATAATTTCGCTAAATGGAACATTCCATAAATGAAGCGGATAACATTCAGACGTTTTTTGAAATTTGATCAAACTCGAACTTATCGATGTGTACAGTAATGGATGCCCACAGAAATCTGAATCCTTCTTTACACTGATAATTCTGTATGTATCGTTTACATTGCAACAACTACTACTACTACTACTACTACTACTACTGCTACAACTGTTCCGGAAATGGATATATTTAAGAACATATATTATTTTTTCTCTGATATATGAAGCTTCCTTTTCAGAAAATTTCACTCTTTAAGTGATGTAAGTGGAATTACTAATGTATAGTAACATAAACATAAATAAGAACACTTTTGAGACGTACGAAAATTATATCATACTGTTTAAAGGGAGATAATTATAATAAAAGTAAAAAACCACATACATACTAAAACATTACATTTAAAGGGAGATAACTGTAATAAAATTCGAGTGAACACATATATATAGTGCATGATACATTTTCTTTTATTCATCCAGCTCACAGATTGAAGGGTTCCTATCTACGGAAAAATGGTTCGTTTCTCATTCGTGTTACTGACAAGTGTTGTTTCAATCTACATGGTATTGACCTATTTTTATCACCATAGTAACATCTCAATCGGAAGTGACGTTCCCAGTGGACAGGAAGTGGCTTATAATAACATTTTTGCTATCGTACACAAACAAAATTCAGAATCAACTGTACAAGATGGTCAGATTCTGAGGTGTAGTCAAATAACATACGGCGGGAATATACTGGCTGGGCTCAATGACGTCACAACCCTGCAATTTACTCCGAAAGGACAGTTTATACCGACACAAGAATCCAGACCATGTGATAAGGGGATCGTTTCTACTGATTTGGAATTGAACATTCGCGAATACAGACACGGTCTCAAGTGCGTAAAAAACTTCCAAGAAGAATATTTAATATCCAAAAATGCCATTTGGGCTGGAGACACGCATTTAATTCGTCAAAACCATCACTCATACCTAACTAGAAATAGCATTGTGGTGGAAATTGGCGGAAATCTTGGTGAAGACGCCTCTGCTATTTTAAGAAAATACAAACCCAATGCGTATGTATTGCTGGAACCGATTCGTCCATTGTATAACCAACTAATGGGGACATTTAAGAAAACAAGAAATATGCACATATATAACTTTGGACTAGGGAAGAAGCTATCCTATTTCCATGTCAATATGGAAGGTCACAAAGGCGAAACTACGTCAACGTTCACAGGGTCAAATTCAGGCGATTGCCTTATTAAGGTCATCAACGCTACTAAGTTCATGCTGAAATTGGGCGTCGGTTGTTTCGACGTAGACCTCTTGACAATCAATTGTGAGGGATGTGAGTTCGACGTCCTGGAATCCCTTATATCCTCAAGTCTAATTGAGCATTTTAAACACGTGCAATTTGCTACTCACCCGACTCTGGAACACTTAACAAGCCCTGTAACTAGGTACTGCGAAATTATCCAAATACTTTCAAGAACTCATGTACCTTCATATAGATACGGATTTGTCTGGGAGTCTTGGACCAGGCGTGATATAATACAAAAAAATATAAACCCTTCAAATAGTTCCTAGTGTGTTTTAATTCCAGCATTAAATGTAACAAGACGAAATTTGTGAGAGATGAAACTCCCTGGTTTGTTTCAGGCATGGAGTCTACAAAGTCTATCTCCAAACTGTGGTTTATTACATTCTTGTTTCAGGCATAGATTTAACAGGCGACCACGCAAAACTCATGATATTACTGTGTACTATCGACCAGAAACATTTTTGCCCTTCGGCAGAATAATTCATATTTGCCCAGTGTTAATTTGATTAGTGCGCATATTATGTTGTTTACTCATGTTTTCTGTTCAAGCATTACACTATTTTAGTATGGCATTTGTGATCTATTTGAATGACACAGTTTTGCAAGCAAACACTATAATGCGCGTGTTAAGGTATGTTTTTCAATGATATAGAAATGCCATACAAAAAAAAGTTCAATGCTTATATCTACGTTTTCTCCGACTTACCCGTTTTTTTTAACTAACAAATTGTTAGACAACTATAATTAGGTATTCTCAAGGAAAATTATTTAGCAAACCTCCGATTCAAGTTCAATTTCAGTCAACCAGTGTTGTAATGTTTCCAGAAATAAATCACAACGTAAATTGTATAGAAATAATCGGTTCCCCTTCATTCCATCTTCTTGAACAAAAGCACAAAATCTGAAAAAAATTGCTATGCGAAATAACAACACCGTGAACCAAACACACCTATAACAAAGGAGGCCATGAAAAAAACAAAAAATACCACAGACGATAAAAAAAGTTCGTTCAAGTCTAGAAAACAAGTACAGCACCACGAATTTATCTAAAATAATATTGATCTCCTAGATATTATTCTTTGAACTGAATGTATCGCATACCTGGGCATTGGAGGACATTCCAGACTTACACAATGAACAAATAAGCATGTTTATAACTCGATTTCCCCTTGCAAACTGATATAATGCCACCATGGAATGATAAGAGTGTCAATACATAATGTTTTATTTCATGACAAAATACTATTACTCTCAGCACAAATAAAACTACAAAGTAACGTATTGTTGGAGTGTTATCAATCCTAACACACGTATAAAGTATAACAGGAGATATAACCAACCCCAACACGTGTAAACAAAAAAGTAAAATACGGTTTTAAGTGATATCCATCCTAGACATGTTATGAAAAGATTTACGATTCCATTGACTAAGTGTATATCAAGTTTAAGTTTATATCAAGTTTAAGTTTATATAAAGTTTAAGTTTATATAAAGTTTAAGTTTATATACAGTTTAAGTTGATATAAAGTTTATGTTTATATAAAGTTTATGTTTATATAAAGTTTAAGTTTATATACAGTTTTAGTTTATATACAGTTTAAGTTTATATAAAGTTTAAATTTATATACAGTTTAAGTTTATATAAAGTTTAAGTTTATATAAAATGAGGCAAAGAAGTCAGTTTAAGTTTATATAAAGTTTAAGTTTATATAAAGTTTAGGTTTATATAAAGTTTAAGTTTATATAAAGTTTAAGTTTATATACAGTTTAAGTTTATATAAAGTTTATGTTTATATCAAGTTTAAGTTTATATCAAGTTTAAGCGTGACAAGCATTTTCTCGACTACTATGTTTACCACCAGGCGTAAGGTTGAAACCATGTTCACGTTATTGTCATGCATGATCGAATTCACTAGATTTTACGAGAGCAGAATCGAACGAATGGCAACTATGCGGTCGATTCGTTCAGAGGTAATGCTTACACAATAATATGTGTTCGTTATGATCAGAGGTAACGTTTATCAAGTAAACTGCACTGTTGCGAGAACGTTTCATTCTAAACGTATATGTATTTACTTACACCGTTTCATGATGTCGTTTTATGAATGTTGCTGTTCAGTTTCTATGCCAACTTTACAGTTACTGCAAAAAAAGATTATTAAACACACACACAAAACCTGGTATTTTTGTATGGTCTTACCGGGATTTTTTATTAACAATTTATAAATAGGTATTTATAACTTCACACGATATAACAAGATATTTTGTTACACTTCAATATCTACAACTTGAAGAAAGTTATAGCATTGTTTATGTTTTTACTCAATTAGCATTATCACTTATCTTGCTTTATGCTTGTTTATAAAAAAACTTCTATACATTTAATTCGTCATTTGTTAACTGTCTAAATTCAAAACGTAATCAAAAACCATGAAGTTTGTTTTCAGTATAGAGATGTGAGTGTGGGTGATGAAATTGTCATGTTTAACGCTGTGCAAGGGGTATATTTCCTATTGTCACAATAAGAGTTCTAGGTGCGGACGAAAAACATCAAGAGTATTATATAGGAAGGGAAGTAACTCTGTTTTGTCTGTACACTTTACATACGCATGTGTTATCATTGAAAAGCTTGGATCGGGCACCTGCGGATCTCTGCACGGATACTGGAATGAATAAAATGATAACACAAATAATGTAGATATGTGACTAAAAATGTGAGACAAAATAATATTTGGCAACTATTTTACCTAAAACCTAATCCCTTGTAGAGCCAAAGAAGGCAATACTTAGCGATGAAATGAACAGACAAAAAAGACAACAGAACAAGTATTTCATGTTAAAATATATTAACTAAAAGTACTCAATGATGGCAGCAGTGTGGGTAACGGCGGGAAAAGTCCAATGGATTATTATGGATCGTTTTGAGCTACCTGCACACAACACACGTTCATCCAAGAGGGTAGGTGCTAGAGGTTTATGCATTGGCTTTGTTTAATCCGTCTCTGATGTTTGTCCCACGTGGCACAGTGGTCGATCACCATCACCCGCATATCCTACCATATCGTCCCGTATATGACATGGAAGTTCAGCAAACCGCGTTGCATCTTTTACAGCTGAAATAACTACCATGGTCGTTGTCCAGTAGGTGTGGGTATCCGGTGTTTCCCAAACGTACGAATCTGACATTTACAACAAGTAATATGGTATATCTTGTATGATACCGGTTTGATAATGCATAATCGTTTTTTGTGTGTTTTTTCCGTTTGAAAGAATTTTACTTTCCGTGTGATGACATCTCGTTGCATCTCGTTTTAACAAATTGGATCGAATCACCAGGCGTGCTGGATTTGGTGAAGGTGAATTTGTTTTGGACAAGTAATTTGGTTTCCAGTAGGACAACAAGAATGCCATAGGGAAATACTTGTCGGCTTGTTTAATGACTTGGAGATACTCCAGTGCTTTTGGATGATGCGTTCAACACTACATGTATACACAGGACCCTGTTTTACAATGAGAGTGTTAGGTTCGTAATGATAGACAGTGCAATAGAATATGTGTCAAGGTCAACAATGTAAGGTTATATAGGCATGGTAATATATGACTATATCACGGTAAATCAATAACATTGTTAATTTATGTCTCCATAAAGTGGTAATATATGGTGTGTTATTTAAAATAGCCTATATATCAATAATATACAACAACATTTGATATAGCGCCCTATCCAGCTAACATAACCACTCTAAAGCGCTTTACAATACATAGATATACAATTAATACAATTAGCATACACAGTAATCAATACAAATTTTGAGGAATTCGTAGGAGCTGCCTCATCAGGCGCTATCTACTAGTTCTATGTCACCTGGCTAATAGCTCCCTATGTGTGTATGCCTGCGTGAGTGCTGCTGATATAATATGTTCTGGTTGTACACATATTGTATACTTAAAGCTGAAGCCCTAATATTTGTACAAATAAATAATACACTTAAGGGAATATGTTACCTACTTCAATGAATTTCCTAAAGCGTTTCTCACTATCAAACCAATATTGTTGCTAGAAAGACTTCATTTAATTGATGGTCATGCGAGAAGTTAAAGATAATACATGCAATGATAATGCTTCAATATTCTGAAAACATGATAATGAGATTGATTAATAGGGGAGATAACTCCATAAAAATCCACCAATGTACTATATCGAGTAACATGTATTCTTAAGGATACTTATAACACTACTCTGTGTTTTTTCCTATATACAGTAATCTCCCCTTAACATCCGTTTGGATCTACATGTAACCGTAGCACAGGTAGGCAAGGGCATTTCCATTGACAAGGAAGCTCGAATGGTTAGGGCGACAGCATAACAATCTAAAAGCAAGGGTTCGAATCCAGGTCTCAACGATGCTGAAATTTTACCCTCGGAACACTGTTATTGATAATGTTTTATTTGTCATAGAAGTCTTTTCAGAAATTATTTATCAAATATTAATCCTGTCGGAGAAACTTAATCCAGTACTTGGTTACATACTTTGTCAGTGGCACGGGGATCCATTACCTCAAAGTTACATCGTCCGTCATCATATAACAATAAAGTCGATCTTTAGAGGACAAATAACCACAAATAACTGAGAATAACTCACGCAAAACTAAATGTATAAAACAAATATTCACATTTTATATTTGTAACCGTGAAAGTGGAAATTTAGATTGTGGTAATACACCATCTCGTTATACATGGTAGAAATACAAACTCTTACGGTATCTTTGAACTGTGTTTATTGTTAGCAAATGCCTGTGTCCCATACAAAATAGGCCTGTCTGTTTAATCGGTCAGAGAAAAATAAATAACAGGCATAAAAAAATTTTAAATGCCTGTCGCCAATGTTTTGCAAGTAGGCGAAATATTTGAGTGTTACGAAATTATCTCTTCTTCATAAAGTGTCTCGCCTCACTTTGTGGGGGACACAGTCCGTTGTCGCACTGTATTCTGACCTCTGATATAACGCCGTGCCCCTGAGTAATAAGACACACGAGTGGGTGAGTGACAGGTGACCTATTTGTCGCCTAGGGTAAACACTGTTAAACATTGGGCTTCGCGTATGATAATAATGTCTGCCTGTGAAATACACAGATTAGCGTCTCATTTCCTCTAGACATCCATTTATTATACTTACAATATGAAATTTGATACAAACGTATCACTGCATGTACGGAGCTAATCAGAACTAAAACAGGTGAGATAATTTCTAAAAAAAATATTTGGAGGTGGTAAGTATGATTAATCAATCAATGTGGTCATTGAATGTCGTGTGTCCATGTTGGTGATATATGCGTGGGACTCTGGATACAGTTTGGAGGTATATTTGTCTCTTTGTTGGGAATTCTCAAGCAAGGCGTTTAGCAACGAAACGTTTGTTAGAAAGGACAGAAACTATGAACTGCAAATTGTTGCATTGGATGCAGCAAATTAATATTTTGTCGCCATGGTGTTTTTACAAATTTACCAGTATTCCTCTCATGTTGAGTTTTATATAATCAAAGGGTTTTAAACAGGCCCTAGATTATTTAAAGAGCACTGCGCATATGACATTGCTGAAAAATACTCGAACACAGCTCTACCCAATACTATATAACTTATACAAAAATAAAGTTATCCTGATGCTTGCTTTCCATTCATCAATTTGTATTTGATACATATATATTATACTATGATACGGTTTGAACTATGGAGGCTTTCGAAACCCATTTATGTTCCTCATATGAAGTGGACGTTATCGACGATATTTTAACATTCATGTTAAGTTTCATAAAAGTGTACAAGTGACGCCAAATTATTTTTTGAAACCGTATTGAATAAAAAGTATGCATTCATTGTATTCTACTTGTCAGTTCCGAACTCATCTGTACACTAATTGACACGCATGCTAATGATACTGTAACCATAAAACGTTATCTAGATTTCGTTTTATAGCTGGTACTGCTACAACATCTTAAACGCAATATTCGTCCACTCCCTGGACTTCGTTGCCATGGATATGAAATAGCACATGCTCAATTTCGGGCTGCCATTTGTGATCAGATTTTTGTAGAAGGAAATGTATGGTTCTGTATAAAAGTCGTCGGCAGCGAGCAGCCTACCTTCGAAAATGTGTCTTTATTTAGACATTTACATCGCTGTTAAACATGAATGACCATTTTGACTTTTGAAGATTGTTGTTGGTGTTAAAATGCAACTTTAATTTAGGAAACATCTCAGAAACAGACTTGAATAGATTTGGCGAAAAATCCGCATAAGAATGACTCTTCAACCAGAACATATAGGCCGTTGTTTGGCTTGTCTTTCTAGCACGATCGCCAAGGGTTATAAAGGCGTTGCCTACCAATATTTACGTCCTATCAAAATGGAAATATTAAATATTAAAGTGATAATTTTGTTTCTTGTGGTCCGCTCCATTCTGGATAACAGGTGCAAGTAAACTCTCATGACCAACTTAGTTCTGGAATGTTTTTATTCTTACATGCAAGGATTTGTAATTATGTAATAAGGATGGGGTTTTAATCATTTTACAAAACTATCATAAACCGCTCGTTTGAGGATTGCCCTTTGTACCACGAGATCAATCGTGCTTACCTGAACCTCTCCGTACAGGCGTTTTATATAGTCCTTGGTGTGATATAGTCCTGTTGTAGACGCAGATCAATATAACTAGCTTCGCCTGGACGCCGTATTTTTCATTGCTTCAAATTCACTTTCGCTAGTTTAAACAATGACGTGGCCGGTCAGAAGCTTATTCTAACAATATCACAACAATATTACCTCGGCTGTTTCGATGTTATCAAGGCCGAACACACAAGTGAAAAGTATGTCGACCGCTGTGCATGCTAGACCCTTTTTAACACCATTGTGTGTCACAGCTAACGGTTTTTATATGCTATTTTACGTCCATATGCGAATAGACAGTTGCGCTGTGCTGCAAGATCAGCCTTCTTATTTCAGCAGCAGATTTTAAAAGTTGCCAATCCGCCAACTACACTGCATATCTATTTAAGTTCTCGATCTTGAAGCACATCGCAACTGTCTATTCGCATATGGACATAAAACAGCATATAAAGACCGTTAGCTGTAACACATAGTGGTGATAAACACTGCTCAGCATTCTTTCTGGCACCCCCTGTAAATGGTGTACGGCTGAATAATATGGCTGGTTTCCATTCTATTGGCTGATAAAACGGAGCAAATACAGCCTTCCACCAGGACCTACACCAATACCCCTCGTCGGCAACTACAGCTGTAAGATTCACGTCAGATGTGCCAGTACACTTGTACTGAGAAAGATACGAAAATTTAGCAAAATGGTTGTAACCAAATTTCAACATAGATCATCGTCATTATTTCTGAAGATGTTTTGAATAAATATATTTCAGGCAATCTATTGATGAATTCTGTACACTTTGGTTTTATAAGGTATATCATTTATTAATAAAGAGTACATCATTGAGTACGATATGCTGTTTGTTTTTGTATTTACTCTTACTCTGTCTTATGTAATGATTCACATACTTGCTTTAACTTCGTATAGATTGTATCGTGAATAAGGGTCATGAGAAAATGTGACTTAATGTTCCAGTTTTATAGATGAATACATCTATATTTTCTATCTTAATGACAATCCCCTCATTAAGATAGTGTACCCAAAGGAAAAATCTCCACCACATTGACTAAGAACCAGGTTTGTGTGATTTGTATGATATGCAAGTCGATGTTTTTCCTATAATGCTCATGTATGTGCCTTGTTGTTTGTCTAGTCAATTCCCACGTGTCTATCCACGCTGGGAAAATGTCCTGGCGTCGTCATTGCCGAATTTCCACTGATGACATTCCACTGCCTTTTAGCAGTAATATTAAGTCGGATTAATTATCACAAGACTGTTTTCCTTCAGCTCAGCAGGTACTTCTTTATAAAGTTTTCAATTTCGTCATCATGGATTTGACACTGTGTTGTATTATTATTATTATACGTTACTTTGACGCACACTGTATCATATCATACAATATATTTTTTACATACAATCGGTACACAATTTATCTAAACAATAAGTAAAACAGATGTGGTTTGCAATATGTAGTATTTAATTCTTAAACAAATGTAAACAACATTAAAAAAAAACCTAAACAAAATGGAAATACCGAAACATATAATGTTCTTGTGAATTTTCGTGCTTCGCTCATTTGTACATAACAAGTGCAAGTCCCTTCTCGTGATCAGCTTATTTCGTGAATTATTTGTCCATGCATTTTTTTAAAAGGGAAAGGGTTTTGTCATTTCACGAGTTTGTAATGTTGACATCAATTTTAAACAACCAGCGAGTGTTGTCTGGAAGATAATGCAGTCATGGATATGTTAATGTAGTATTCAATTTTCAAACAAATATAATTAATAGCAAATCCAAAAGAAAAAAAAAGAAAAAAAATCGAAAAAAATATATATGTTTCGAAATCTTTGAAAAAGCAGGTTTTTTTTAACGATCTTTCTCATTTCCTCTCGTCAGTGATTGAAACATTTACATATGTAAACGTTGCTTTGGACGCCTGGAAAACATCGTTCTTGAATGTCATAGATAAACATGCGCCAAAACCTCAAAGGAGATCAAGTCGGCCCTAACAGCTTGAACGGTTTGATGGTGATATTATAGGAAACATAAAATTGAGAGACAAATTAAAACGTAACGGTGAACTTGACCACCGACTCAAAAAACATGGTAATCATGTTGCTAAGTTGATGAAGGAGGCAAAAGCCACGTATTATAAAAGTGCTATCGAAAATAACATGGATACCATTGATAAGCACTGGAAAGGTATTCGTAAAAGTGCCGCCTTAACAATCATCTTCCGTAATTACAATGATTATTGTTGATGATGAAAAATTTCTATGAAAGGGAAAAAGCAAAGCAATTCAACAGTTGTTTTACTGCAGTCGCAGATAAGATAATCTACCATCTTGTTTAAAAGATACAAATTGTACATTTGAAAAGTTGTAACAGATATGAAGTTTATTGATATTGTTATTGATATTTATGATCCTAATTGAATCACATTCTATTTAATTTGACATATGGTTTTTTTTACAGCTTTTCCTCCAACCCAGTGTAAGAATGGTATTTTATTTCTCTAGACATTAATTGATTCACATGCTTTTCTACTTAGTTGAGATGGATTCATACAGCACCCTTCTAGTTCGTTTAAGACCTCTTTTTTACCACGATTTTGTAATGGTTAGCTGTATACCCCGCAATACCACTGATATCTGGACTGAAGTCGGCAGTGACACCTGGTGGAAGCATGATTTCAAACTGTTGGAGAATAGTTGCGCAGATGAGATGAAGTTCCGGTTTCGCCACACTCTCTCCTAGACATACCCGCCTTCCAGCGGAAAATGGAAGCCAACTGACTGGTTTTGGAGCAAGATTTCCGTCAGAGTCCAAAAATCTTTAGGGATCAAACTTTGAGGGATCTTTCCAGTGTTTAGGATCATTGTGCAATGCCCAGTGATTTATCATGACCATAGTGCCCTTCGGTATGTCGTATTCATCTAAAACATCCAGAGATTACATAAATAGACAATGATAATATTAAGCCTTCAGAAGTATCTTATGTAGTTGTGATAACAGAATTTGACTTTCTTTCTAACAATTATTACTTTTGCTGGTATACTTATACATAACACATGTAATATGCTATAGTTTATAAGTATTTCCGAATAGAAGAACGTTCCTTTAAAAGAGAATACATACATAATTTTGAATCGTTTCTGGCCGCATGTGGGACACCAAGCGGTGCCACAGATGCAATCCGCATGACCTCATGTAAAACAGCCTCGGTGTAGGGCATTGCATTTCGATCCCCAAGTCCAGGAAGACGATCTCGTCCTGTCAATTACATAAACATGAGAAATATTCACAAAACAGCAGAGAGATTCAAACATTATCCTTAAAAAGAAGAAAAACGATCAAAGAATAAGGACCACTGTCACACTGGCAAACCACGAGAGAAATCCACCGCAGTTTCCATACCTACATCAACCTTCCGTTAATTTCGTTTTGTATACATCTGTGGTCGGACAGGGCCAGTAACCTATCAGTGCATTTTACTCTCACAACACTGTTTCAGATTTGTCTTATTATTGTTTTCATCTTTATTGATTTTCATGCAAGTTCCATTAGGTAAGCAGTTCTATTCAAAAATGATTCAGTAAGCCTCAGTATCGTCATTCTAGTAAACGTTTCCTTTTCAAATATTTGGCGGTAGTACGGAGATCCTTCAATAAAGCACTTTACTCAGATTGAGTGAATTATAACGATTAACAATGTTCAGATTAAAAATATTATGTTTACAAAACGTATATACTGTCGGTAAATTGCTTAAGAATAAACCACATTTCTTAAAAGCTAAATCCTTTTGAATAGACAATGTCTGTATTCAATAATAAAAAAGACACTCCAGAAACTGAAGGTAAAGTAGAAAACCTCCCTACAGATTATGTGTGAGTAATGAGACTTGAAATCAAATAACCAATAAAGAAAAAAATGAAAAAAAATAAGAAACCGCTTTTTGCTTGGATTTAGCTACAAAACTGGCACCAGCTATTCTCTAAGTGTGCCCCATCTGACCAAACGATAGTGAATTTGCTGTAATATAAGTTAATAAAACTGGTTCCATAATTGTTGTTAAATTAATTAAATTAAATTATGGTAACAACGTTACTTCTGGTACATACCCACGGCATTATCGATTTCCTTCTGAGCTATTTTCTGTTCTTCAGGATTTGCAGCCATATAGAGAAGGAACCACTGTAGTGTGAAACGTGTGGTGTCGAATCCAGCTGGAACAAACAACCATTGAATGAGTAGTTAGTAAACAAAGTATCTTAGAATATGTAACAGACAACTTCAAAGTGAGTTTCCTAAATCTCGTAATCTGAAAATAATCCCTTTTTGAACAACCCGTTACCATTTCCATATAAAAAACGGCAAAGACCTCGATAAAATATATTTAGTTGCAAATTTAACATGTATGACTATTCCAATTTTCATGTTTATCTGTCCACTAACCAACTAAGCTCCCTCAATATATCGTCAACAATCGGGAATTACATTTGCATTGCGTGTTTAGTATTTAACTAAATTGAACCTGCATCCATGACACTTTGAACGCAATAGTGCCACACATGATTTGGTTTTCTGCGTTCATATCGGTATGAATGTCTAACACTGATGTAACATCATATATTTCACAGCTCTGATGTTTTAATTTAAATAAAAAGTTACGTGTTTTGCTTAATGCATCACGAGTTGAAATATTTATGATGTTATGAAACCTACACGGCATGTTTCCTACCAAGAAAGTGTGATCAACGTTTTATCACGGGCTAGTTTGTTTATTATACACATAATATACTCGGACATGTTATGAAGTAAAATATGTACAATAAAAAGCGTTCATTACATAACTATGGTTTTGAGTCGTATTTTAATAAATGTAATTTCGGCTTGGCAGTCTCAACAATAACGTATAATCACATTAAATATACATATTTATGGTACAACGTATTGAAATTATTCAACGATTACAATGTAATTACTGTGTTTTGAGCCAGTTATCATTCAAAACAATAAAACGGCTTTGATAGAAAATCATAGCATTTGGTATAATTTGAGGGTTTCATTAATTAATAGGGCCATAGCAGCGCAGCTCATTGGAATGGGTTATTGAAGCCCTTCAACTAAAGCTACAGATATCGTATGAAGAGGTGTGGAATCACGCAAACCATGCTGTTTTTATCAGTTCGATCACTATAGATAATAGTGTATGAGTGAAATATATAACATGAAACTATAACATGTAACTAAACTCTGATACCACAGCAAAACATCGCATGGGCTGCGCCTATCGTATCGAGCTGAACAAATTTGAAGGGATACTCGTTGCATCAAATGGACAAATACTAATTGCGATATAATCAAAACATTTCCATACATAGTACCATGAACGTAAGAAGATTCAAACTTATTTCTAAAGTTTTGATGAGCTGTCCTTCAAATATTATTTTCAAATGATATCAAACTATTGTTCGTGATAACGTACCAAAGAAAATGTCATTCAGAGTCTGTCTCAGGTGAGCCTCTGTTAGTTGGTCTAGGAGTTCCGTATCTTCGTCATTTTCTGCCTCCTTTCTTGCCAGAATTAACGCGTCAGCAAAGTCTCTAATATTACCTGTATATTGTGTTATAAAATAACATCAGTTATAATGATACATTATTGTTTTGTTATTCCTAATTACTACGAAATGGCTTACTGCAAGACATACACAATATCTATCTGGATAAATGATTATTTATTCTTGGTACTGAATGTGAAAAAACGTAACCTTTATCGAAAGACGTTATGTGCTCCTGTAGTTCATCATCAAGAAATTGAAGAAGTTTTTACATCAGTTGCATTGCTTTGTTGAATCGGCTACTTGGCCAAATCTTCAACAAAACTGGAAACAGATCTTCTAGGAAACCTGATCCTAAAGCAGTTAGCAGTTCGTTCTCTAAACCCACCAAGCGTTTGAATCTAGGGTCGTCAAACTTATACCTATACAAAACGAAAAGACACCGAAAAAACATTTAAAGAGTATGAAGTTCAGCAACGGCTTTACCGCCAAAAGGCAGATGTCGATGGCATGATTGATTCACATATAAATAATTAAATGGTTCAGGATTTTTTTATCATATAGAAGTAGATTTAAGAATACTTATGACAAACACACAAATATTTGTACCAGATATGAAAAATCAAGTTACTGCTATTAAAGACGAATCCTGCAATAATTTTCTGTAGGTAAATTATCGAAAGATTTTTACTTGTCTTGAAGCCATAAGTTCTTTCTGTACATGTAATAACATAGCAAAGAAAGTAAACCGATGACTGTTCTATCAGCAGAAAAAATGTGTATATCATCTAAAATCGCTCAAGGATAGATTAACATCCTTCGTTTAATCACCAACTCCCCACCAAAGCCCAACCAAACCCAATATCGTTATAATATTTGTTCTAATGCAATGCTCTTCGATTCGAACAGTGTTCATTCCGAGAACAATTTCATCCGATGAATTATTCTGTCAATAAAAACCATTCATACAAAAACAGCACACTACGACTATAATAAAAATAATTACACTTTGTGGAAGCAAAGTCCATGGAAAATGTTGAAAACAGCAAGATCTATGTAGGAGTGGGGAACAAAAGGTTCTTCCTTCAAGTTCTCAAACAACTCGATAACCTGTGACAGGGATCCGTGAATAGCTTCCTCCAGCTTGCCTCCCTTCAAGTATGTTCTAAAAGGAAAGACAGAAAATGGAACACAGAACAAAGTCAGTGTCGATAGAGGGAAATTGCTTATTGTGGAGAAACCTAACAAAAATAATATAATGATCCCCCTCAAACAGTGACTGGAACCCGAAACTGTAGGTGTGATCAGCTAATCAATCTTTTCCTGAATAGTTTGAAAGTTTCTGGCCACATTTGTTTATCAGTTCATATTTTACTATCATATACACATATATATATGATGATACAATACGTGTAGTCACGTATTCCGTCCCTCGTGGTATTCGAATGATAGACAAACCAGGTAACAGCCCATCTGTACTAGCAAAATGAATATGCATATTTTGAGTGCCTCAAAGGTCAGGATATGCAACCTCGTAGTGTTATTTAACGCGATAAGCTATTATGAACAAATTCTTATTTTTCAATTTACATTTTTCAGCATATATTCATCATTATTTCAAAACCAGTCTGCATGCCAATATAGCTTGTACCATCTACTGATACATATTGCATATACAAAAAAAACACACCCAGTATTGCTATTGTCGAAAAGAGTTGAGTCTGAATCAGCTACATTAGAGCTGACAACAGGATCACACAGTTTTCAAACAGTTAACACATTTATATAGTTTACCTGTGATTTGACCAGTCAGCCAATTAAAAACAACTCCTACTTTTGAATGTCATGGCCAAGGGGAATTTATGACCGACCCTGCAACCAAAACAGTAGCCGTACTCAAGTTTTGAGAAGGGTCGGCTTTATCATATTGTTACCAATATTGGAGGGAAATTTGTTGTTGTATGTATGGTCATGAGATACAAAGTTATAATAATGTATCATGTACGGCATGATTGCGTTTATAAAACGTCTAAATTTAGCAACGGTGGTGGTGATATTACATTTTAATGAAGTGTCCTAAATATCAACATGAACATATTATTTTGTAGTTTTGGTACAGAAGATATTTCCATGGGGCTTATCCAAGATTTCATGATGAGTGATGGCGCCCAATATTTGCAGAACATACCTGAAGCTTATAGAATATACAAATCACTTGAATCAGACTGCCATCAGGTCAATACTAATTTCAGTTGGTTTTATAAACATTATGCTTTGAAGCAAAAACAAAATTCTGTCATGCTTTATTGAAAGTAAATTGTATATGACTTGATTTCAATATGCCGAACACACCGAAGTGCAACTTATTTATTTGTTTAGAACGGACATTACCATACAGTTTTGGAAGTACTTTTCGCTTAACAAAAAGAAATCTTAAGACGAAATGACAAATTTGTTAACAAAAGCATAAAGGAAATACACAATGAAACGTTTTCAATATATAACATATCAGGTATTTTTTCTCAGAAATATACTAGCACTGAACCAAACTATACTTATTATAATAGACAACTTTTCTACTCACCTGAGAGCGGAACCTGCGATCTTCCGGTGGAGTTTCCATGTAGGGGTATACTGCGCGAATGCAATGTCCTTTCCACCTTCCGAAAGTTTGTTTCCTTGATTGAAAGATACACATTCAATTTTAAGTACTGTGCTATCTATGTAATTTGCAAAATTAAAGGTGAATAGGAGGGGAAAAGAAAGGGGTCCAAAATTATGGCGGGGGTCTGAAGATTTCAAATATGTCCCCTTAGGAAAGAAATCCCCCCATTCAGCAAATACGATGACATGAGGCAGAATATCGTGCATAGGAGATGACAATAAATTCATGCAAAACATGGATAGCTTTTCGCTGTATGTAAGTTAGTGCGAGCTTATCTACAACTTTTAAGGAGTGTGTTAGAACAAGAAATACTGTTTCATATATAAATTGTTGGTTTGTTTTACAAATCAGAGGTAATAAAACATTTGTAAAACCAGGAAAACTATGCTGTCATCCAACAAAAGTACTTATATTTTCAATATAGCCAATCAACAAGACTATAATATACTGTACCTGATGTAAACTCTACACGATCTGCAAATTCCGCCTTACTCTTAACCAAGACTTCCGTTGCAGCTTCGATTGTATTTACAATGATAATTGGGGGCGTTCCTGTCAACGAAGGAATACATCTGATCAATTATTACGTAATGCATTCTGGGTTAATATGTTTTTAACGTGACCACCGTGTTTTTCAACGAATGCGTCAATGTATATATTTTTCGTGCGAATTTATGTTAATACTACTTGAATGTACTGTGAAGTAAAACGTATATATTGGCAATATAATTTGACAGGGGTGGATAACTGTGCTTGATGCCTTCCTTGCGGTGTTTCAGTGAGGTATTACTCTTAAGTCGGAATAAGATCCGCTCTGTAGCCGGGGGCAAATACTCATATTTTATGTTTTTACATACTATTTCGACGCTCATACGATACCAACTCAAGGAGATACGTCTTAACTGATTTTAAGATTTTTAAGATGCTAAATCCTATTAACCAAAATCCAAATCAAGGGAATTCACGCATAAGATGTCCATTGTGTAATACGAGACCACAATACAGACAAAAGAAATGAAGAAAAAACTTTTGGAATTTTAGACTTGAAGAATATATTAGCTCAGGGTCTGCAAAAAGTCTTGATCTTAAGATAAAAACTATTTTAAAGTCATATATTTTTCAAAATGTATGAATCTCGAAATTTAATTTAAATAATAACACGCACATCTAATACAAAATACGTACCTCGTGAAACCAGTATATGTACAGAAGTTACTACATAGGTAGATATTTGATGTATGTTTTGAAAGATATAATGAACAATATGATATATAGTAAATCAACCAAACATTAAATAGTTGATTTACTTGTATGCGGAAAACATTATTCACCGTTGTGAAAAAGCCTATAATATCTTCTTTGAATGTCAATCTTATAGCAATGCTCGTTCAGTACTGTTCCAATACATTCCCAATACTAATATGCAAATAAGTTTGAGGTTAAACCTATTTAGTGACCAAAACCTAGCTTCGATTAAAATTTGAATTTATTTAGACATGTGTTTTTTTAATATTCAAGGTAAAATACTTGCGTTAAGATTTTGTTAAGAAAACCGCGACTTTTGCACAATTGGACTGATTATTTGGGTGTGAATATTACTTACCCATGTACACAGTGATGACAGGACCGTACTTCTGTGACAGTTTCACGCAGTTCTCGTGGATGTCTCTGTCCCCCATCACTTCAATATAAATGGCCAGCAACATGAAGAATAATGTATTTTTAATAAGTCATAGTCTTATTGATGATTAATTTGATATTAACTATATTTACCGGCATTCAATTCTTACAAGGTACTCATATTTACAGAACAATAATTGGGTCACAAAATTGAATTGGGTTGAATTGCCTCTTAATAATGGGATTGCTGATATTTGAAACGTGACAGCAGAGCAAAAAGCGGGTGAAGTCAAGAAAGTGTATTATGCATCAGTTTAAAGACTAAATTGGAGCATGTGAGCCCTGTGTGGGCTTATGTATGTTTCAAATAATACGTTTCCGTAATACTGTACATCAAATGAATAAAACAAGAGATTAAATAAGTGTCTTTACAACCGTGATTCGAAATCCAGTTCAAGAAAACTTAAGCAAAATATGAACAAAAGAAACATTTGCAAGGTGAAACTTGAAAAAGTACAACGAGAACAAAACCAGGTGATCCGGAATGTGAAGCGTATTCTGCATTATTGACGACACCCCCATGTAAATTAAGGTCAAATTCAAAGATAGGAACTATATATGTGTAATATTTATCACTTTAGAAAAAAAAGATAAAAAGACTATATTACGAAACGTATGAGTGACATTTTCTCACGATCCAATAATCATGATATACTATATATATACTACAGGTCACGTAGTTACGAGAAATAGCTTGATAAAATGGCAGCGCGGAAATACATAACGCGCGGAAACTGGTGACTAGACGATATATATGTAATGTATGCACTTATGTGCATTAATACACATGATGAATTAAGAATAGATAAACAAACAAATTGTAATCAATTATGCAACCCCTCTTAAATATTTTCATATGATATTTTTTAATGCCTAGTTACAGAAAATTGAATCTAAAAGTATGTTGTTTTTGCATAGAGTTTATTTAAATTTGGTATATAAGAAAAACTGCATGATTCATTACATCTGAAGTACATTTTATAAATTTTTGATATCTAATTACAATCATTTAACTCAAAACAAGTGTACTGACACATATGAAGTGAAACCTACGGCTGTAGTTGCCGACTAGAGGTATTGGTGTAGGTCCTGGTGGAAGGTTGTACTTGCTCCGCTTTATCAGCCAATAGACTGACAGACCAGCCACGAGTCCGACCAGAGCGGATGTTGGTGTGACGTATTCCAGCATCGGTCCAAGCGTCTCCTTCAACTGTTGGAAGTCGTCACGAAGATGATCTTTTATATCCTCCATATTTTGTTAGACGGAAGTGAAGGTTTTTCCTAAAATAGTAAAACGAACATGTCAGCCCATTGTTTTTATAAAGCGACAAATATCCGACAACGTGTTATGAAAAGCGAACATTTAATGATATAGCTTATCTATTTTAGTGCCAAATGGAAAACATCGGAACAAACCGCCATTAACACGTGAAATATACAATCGAACCTGTTATAGAGGTCAGCCTTCTTAAGCGTTCGTCTTTCTTGATATGTTCCTTTTTTTCAACGACCTTTTTTTCACCAAGATAATGCATTTTACTATATATCAATACTCTTCAGAGTAATAATATCTGTTCATCAACCACAGTTGAACCAATTTTAAAGAGACCTCATTGAAATGTGTGCATTAATAATTTCTTTTCAACAAATTTTATAGACAAAGTTAATACAAGTCAATTGGAAGGAATAACAGGCAAAGCCTATATAAATTCTCTCCAGCGGTAGCTTAAGTTACAGATTTTGTTATATTGGATTTGATTTAATTAATACATCAATTTTGAAATGAAAAATAAAAACAAAAAAAGTTAAATGGATGTAACTCCTTATTAATTAACATAACTGAAATACAAATACATTCACACTTCTTACCTCACACACAAAAAAATCGACAGCTATTATTTATTTTATAACATTTTACAATGTATATAACCTATATATGTATCAAATCACACAGATATTGGCAGACATTGACCAAAGGTCCATGTGCAAATATATGCACAGGTCACAGTCGCCAAAACTGTTATTGTAATTGTTATTGTAGCATTTATAATGACGATAAATTTTCTAATTGCTCTCCATATTCATATATGTTTGTAATGTATGTATATATATATATATATATGAGGCAAAGAAGTAATTCCAACAGTGTGGACAAGTTTAGGTTGTCAAATTTTCGGAGCGATCCGCTCCTTTTTCAAGACACAGTGAAACAGAACAGTTACATGTACATATGCATCATTTTACAAGAAGATATAACTGATATACTATAATTGAAAATATAGCTATTATATAAAACCAATAGTCCCCTCGGCTAAAGACAGCCGAAGGCAGCAATTAAGCTGAGAGCATCGCGGACAAGGAACGCTGATTTGGAGGACCTATTCTTGCGCAAGATCACATAAAGTGAGTCAACGAGAGATATCAAAAACGTGGAACATGTGATTGTGGAAATCTGGTCCGGTAAATGTGAAAAATCTCAATTTTTATATATATATATATATAATATAGTAGATTTGATATGTATACATGTATGCAAATTGTTTTTAATACCGTAGCATTTTCCTGATAACATGCATGGCTTTCAACTAGCTGAAGGTGATCATAGTTAGAATTAGAACTAGAATGGCGTTTACAAGACATATGCTAGTACGCATTGACATTTTACGCTACGATTTCAGAACTTTTCGTTTACCCATTGTACTGAAATCAATCAAACTTACCTATGTGGTGAGCTTTGTATCTGTGTGATACAGTTCGGCTGTCGACGCAAACCTATCTTAGCTAGCTAAAACTTAGTCTCCCTATATATACTATATAAGTCAAATGCTAGTGACAACAATATATGATAACGCAATATTCCTCGGTTGTTGCAATGATGTAAAGGCCGACGTACACACGTATACAATGTAAGTCGCGGTACGTGCTAAATAATAACACTTGTACTTGACATAGACACGTGTATACACAGCACTCTCAATGTCGATAATAACGTATGCCTGGCTCGGTCCGTATGTAAATAGACAGTTGCGTTGAGCCTAAACAGGGCTGCCACTAGATTAGTCTGACGACAAGACATGCACAGTCAGGCGGTGGTGGTCTTGCTCCGGTTGATCAATGGCTGGTTAGAGTTAATAAGTGTTTGGGGGAATTCAAAATATGAAGATAACAAAATCAAGAACGTCTGACATCATTTAACTGTTATAGATTTGTTTTGACAGAGGCATAGACAAATCAAATTGGTGTGTTTTGAGAATTGATTTTTCTCTGAAAGCATGTTATTGGTTCTTGTTGACAACAATTAAAAATTATCACTAATCGCTAGTTAAAGCTAACCAACATTTGAGCAACCGGGGCCAGTTTACTGAACTAAAGCTGTTGAAATCTGCAGCTAAAATTAGAGCGCCACTCGGTACGTGGTCTACCACCCCCTTTAACCGGGCGGTACGGCTGAAATTCTGTATAGTGGATTGTTATGCCGGCGTACAAGGCCGACAGTAACAGTTAATAATTTATTTTGAAAGTGTAATGTTATATCTTGTAACGGCAGGATATGGCATTTTATCACATTATGTACTGTGTTATCCGGTGAATTTACCCATGTCATATTTTTTGGCGTATTAACCAATGTAATATGACCTATCAGCCCTGTGATTGGTGGGAAGGTTCAGTTGTTTCAATTGTGACGTCACGCCCAGGACAAGTACATGCCGTCACAGATTTACGCACTTAGGTCAAAATGGCGGCTTTTTACATTTTAAGGTTGCATGAAAATTATGGTTTTACACAAATAAATGCCACGAATCTTGATTATGTGATAAAAAGATCTTCACTCGTTATCATTTCATATGTAATTAATGAAGCTCGTCATGAATTTTTCATTTGAGCTCGCCAGAGGCTCAATAAATTGAAACATTCTTAGACTCGTTTCATAAATGTCATATGAAATGGAAACTCATGTAATATCCTATATATATATATATATATATAAAATATATAATAATAATAAAAATATAAAATAAACATGAAGAGCCAAGTGGAGGGTGAAAGCAGTTAGTTTTTTAGTCAGTCGTTAATTATTTTTTGTACATTTACTTACTTCACATGGACATTTAATCCTTTTTGATTATATATATAGGAATGTTTCAATATGCTAAATGCCTTGCATCCCGATTTGAATTACATAATTGAGTCTGGTGAAAAGGGAATACCTTTATTGGATATTTTTGTAGAAATCAAAGGACAAAATATTGTTGCGATATATATTATAAACCTACAGATTCTCACAATTATTTGGATTTCTTTTCATTTTATGCTAAACACACTACGCTCAACATTCCATATGGTTAAGCATCGAAATTAGTCGCGGTTGTTAGCGATAAAAAAATACAAGTTAGATTGGACGATTTGAAACTTTATCTTAAAAGCAACGATTATCCTGCTGAAGTGGTACAAAACGCTAAACAAAGAGCTAAAGAGAAAGTTCTTGTCAGTGTTAATTAAGAAAGAGCTAACCCCAAAGATGCCTATATCATACCATTTGTTACTACGTACGTACAATCCAAATAATTGTAACATGTTTCCTGTCGTTGAACATTTTGTGAATTTGATGAAAAACAGTGAGAACATGAAGTGTACTTTTGATAAAAAAAAAGATTATAAACTGTAAAAGACAACCTAAAAACTTGTTATGTGTTATCTATTTACAAACTGAATAGCAACGATGTAGTTATTTTTACAATGTAATTTACTTAGATGAATTCTTTATTCTGGTATTCTCTACGTTTGCTTATTGATGACATCACTAAAATTGTTGACTATGAAAATATTGTTGACGTCATGTAAGCAACGGTGATAAATACATATCAATCCGCCTGAAGAAGCCTAGAAGGCAGAAAAGTCTAGCGAAAGATCTGACAGATTTATATTTTATTCTATATTTTCCTTCGCAAGGACTGGCTTATTTATTATCTATTATATATATGTACAACGTATTATCTTGTTTGAATAACATTGTTTCAGCAACTAAACGTTTTACCAAGTATTTGGATTGAAATAGATTATGAGTTTGTCTATAAGGCCCTAAGTATTAACAGGGGGTAATTAATGTTATTTCTACAGTACTTAGCTTGGTATTGTGGATATTGAGCGACTCTCTTCTTTTCTTGATGGAACATAATCCGACATGAATTTAAAGTAACACTCACACTATATAACATAATAATCCTCGGGGGAATAACATAGACGCACTTTTGGACACTAATCCGGGAATTGATTGATCTCTAATAAATGTCCTATAATCTCGAAATATCTAAAGAAAGTATTTCTATGAATGCTTAATTAGATTTGAACACAAACAGGAATTGCAAACTCACTTTGCGACCCTTTGAAAACGTCTGCTTCTTTTGTTAAGCAAAGAGTGTAAATGACCGGTGTCTCGACTGAAAACAACTCACCACGCCACATTTTGCCGACTCAGCTGTCCAGCTGTCAGAAAACCTAGAGACATTTCGCTTAATTGCACTCTAATACTGCAGGCAGTCAGGGGGACGGACAACATGTTTACCCGTTCCGTCCCTTAGTATTGTAGAGTGAATATGAATACGCATACTTTCTGTCGGGGTCGCGGGAACAGTTATCTGACAATTTTATCTTGAGAGGAATCCTAGCTAGTCATTTCAGACTATATAACTCCACAGACAACACTGTCTGAGACCAGTTCCGTCAGGAAAGGATTATGATAAAATAATATTATAGTAATACCAAACCCACCATTATGAAACTCTATGACAAATATGACGACCTTAAATTGTATTAAAGCTGAATTAATTTAATTAGTTTCGGGTTAAACGTCTTTGCAACATCCAGGGTCATATTAGGACGGGTTTCCTAAGGAGACACCACATGCAACCGAAAGTAGATAGAAAAGAACGAAGACAGGAAAGGAAAATGATCCCAAGTGTTGCAATGAGGGCAGCATATCAATGTTGGTCTCTTCCATGTCATCATCGTGGAAGACATAGAAGAAACCCCCAGAAATGTCAGGGTCCCACATTGGTTGCCTTTTACGATGCACATGCAGTGGAATACAGTAGGTATATTCTTGATAGCTTCAATGTGCCCTAAAAAGAAGACAAGGAAGAAATAGCTGAATTAAGGATATGTTTGGTGTACTTCACAGATAAACATATAATTGACCAATAAAAATCTGCTGCTTCTATTGCACCATTTGGAGTCTTTTTAGTTTCGATCCTCCTTTTCAAACCACGTTTTCATTTCCTAACACTTTAATTGGCAAAACTTCACGTTTGGCCTGGGTGTTGACCGTTCGCCCAAGCGATGAAGGTATTTTGCTTATATATCCACTTGTTTAAACGTTGTTGTGCTGTTTGCTTCGGCATGGTATTTCAGTTCGGTAATACTCTGGAGTTTGAATCTGCAGTATCGCACTGTTATAGGCAATTATTATGCTCGGTAAATTGTACTTTAATTTTCCTCAATAGTTATACCGTCTTGTTCAATATGACGTTTTAATGTCACCATTACTAAGTATGGGGATTATCTATAAAACAAAACCAGGGTTTTCTACCAAAAACGTGTCAATTCACGCTGGGAAAATTTCCTGCCGTCGTCATGGCCGGATTTCCACTGTTGATATTTCATTTACTTTTAGCAGTAATGTTTTGTTGTTTGTGTTATTATTGGTCGGATTAATTATCACGTGACATTTTCCTTCAGCTCAGCAGGTACTTTCCTTGTGAAGTTTTCAATTTCATCATCATGGATTTGACGCTGTGTTATATTATTATTATATTTACTTTGATACTGCATTATATCATACAATGTACTTTTACATACAATTGGTATATAGTTTATCTCAACAATAAGGAAAACAAATGTGGTTTGCAAAATGTAGTGTTTAATTCTCAAACAAATATAAACAACATTCAATTATTTTTTTTTATCAAAATGGAAATACCGAAAAATATAATTCTCGTGCTTCCCTCACATGTACATATCAAGTGCAAATCCCTTCTTGTGATCAGCTTATTTTGTGAATAATTTCTCCTTGCAGGTACATGCAAAGACATACATTTTTTGTAATGGGGATCAGGCTTTGTCATTCATAAGTTTGTAATGTTGACATCAATTCTAAACAACCGGCGAGTGCTGTCTGGGAGATAATGTAGCCCTGGATATATTAAATGCAGTATTTAATTTTCAACAAATATCATCAACATTAAATAACAAATCCGAAAGAAAAAAATGAAAACAAAATCGAAGTAAATATAGATGGTTTTAAAATTTTGAAGAAGCAGTCTTTTTGAATGATCATTTTTCATGTCCTCTCGTCAGTGGTTGAAACATTTATAGATGTAAATTATGCTTTGGACGCCTGGAAAACATCGTTCTTGGATGTCATAGATAAACATGCGCCAAAACCTCAAAGGAGAGTAAATCGGCCTTAACAGCCTGAACGGTTTGATGGTGTATTATAGAAAACATAAAACTGAGAGACAAATTGAAAAGTAACTGAACTTGACCACCAACTCAAACTAGAAATATGTCAGAATGACATGAAAGTCACCCCAACATTCTGTATGATCATTTTCCGATAAATCATTGACCAAGATACAACGGATATATTCCCACCTGTCAATAAAAATAGTAAACAATTACCAGGTGGAAATACATACATGCTGTTCAGGTAGCCATGAAAACACAGGGAATTAATAGGAAAGCATGTCGCAAATATAACGTTAGCGTTGACCGACACCTCGAATACGGGGAGATCTGCGCCCTGGCATGGGCAGAAAAGGTAATTGGAATATAACGATGTTGTTTTCACAACAATAAGTTTCAGAAAAGATTCAATCTTATTTACGGATAAATCTTCTACTTTTGTTTGTTATGAAATACACTTTTCCAAGTAGTTTTCTGATAGTCTGCAAATCCGACTGAATCGGTCATCGATATCGGCAGAATGTGTACTGTACGCTTAAAGGCAGTCCCTCCGACGAGGACCGCCAACAGCCGAATTCGCAAGACATGAAGAACACCAAACAATTGTGATATCAGCAATTCGCCTTCGAAAAGAAAAGATTGGAATGTATTTGGCTGTTTTGAACCCATTGATATTTAATTTTCAAACTCAAACTTTTATCATTATCGGTTCAATTCGCATTGGATGTCATTGTAAATTCCTGCCGGTTAATAGTATCACGCAACTGCGACTCTTTGCGGTACACAATCTTGCTAACTTCGCCACTTTACCCGTGTCGTTTTGACACATACCTACGGACAAGATTGAAGAGTTCAGCAAGATTTTACCCAAGAACGACATTTTAACCAGAGTAATAAATCCGATGCAATTTTTCGTTATGTTTCCCGATACGTGGTATTTATCAATTCACAACGTAACGTCCTGAAAAGTTGAGCCTACTTTACTCGAGTTTATTTATCCGATTCTGTAGTATTATATGACTTAAACTTGCAACTTTTCGTAATTGTTATATTGGCAATGCAATCAGGGATTATTCAACGAAATTTAGCAGTTGTAATGCTGTTAGCATATATCAAAACATTTCCGAAAATCCTCGAAAAAATTACGAGAAATGGTCGCGACCAAGGACTGGTTTTGGATTGTTATTGAGTATCGTGTACACCCTTTTCTTGACACTTTATTTTCCCCTTAAAAAAGTGCGCACTATACGCAAATATTAACGGTAGTCGTTGGTCAGGCAAAAAATATCTAATTCAGTCAATAGCAATTTATAATACAGTTTACCCCTTCGGGAACCTCAAAGGTACCTGATTCATACTCGGAACATCTTTAGGTTATATGTAATTCCAGTGGGGAATTTGGAACGCCTTTAGGTTTTATCCTATTCCTGTTTAAAAAGGAAATCTATATCTGAGTTATCCAAGACCTTGTAATTAGCGCCTGGTACATTCCGACAGAAGCAAGATACACAACAGCCCTCCTAACAGAGGTCAAAATCTGGGACTGAAACCAAAATTAATAGTCCCCACTGGGGTTCCCCCAGGGGTGACTAAAAACAACGTTATCCTGTTGATAAATTGACAAAGGAGGCAAAGGCCACGTATTATAAAAGTCCTATAGAAAATAGCATGGATACGATTGATAAGCACTGGAAAGGTATTCGTGATCTTGCCCCCTTAATAATCATCTTCCGTAACTACAATGATTAAAGTAGATGATGAAAATATCTATAAAAAGAAGGAAAAAACAAAGCAATTCAACAGTTGTGTTACTGCAGTTGCAGATAAGATAATCTACCATCTTGTTTAAAAGATACAAATTATACATTTGAAAAGCTGTAACAGATAAACGGGTTCGTTTATCCTCGTGAAATATTGGTATTGGTATTGATATATGTGATCCTAGTTGAATCACATTCTATTTCATTTACAGCTTTTTCTCCAACCCTGTGTCAGAATGGTATTTTATTTCTCTACACATTCATTGATTCACATGCTTTTCTACTTTGCTTAGATCGAGCCATATAACACCATTCTTGTTCGTTTAAGTCCTCTTTTGTACCACGATTTTGTATTGATTAGCTGTATACCCCCCAATACCACTGACATCTGGACTGAAGTCTGCAGTGACACCTGGTGGAAGCATGATTTCAAACTGTTGGAGAATAGTTGCGCAGATGAGATGAAGTTCCGGTTTCGCCGCACTCTCTCCTAGACATACCCGCCTTCCAGCGGAAAATGGAAGCCAGCTGACTGGTTTTGGAGCGAGATTTCCGTCAGAGTCCAAAAATCTTTTGGGATCAAACTTTGAGGGATCTTTCCAGTGTTTAGGATCATTGTGCAATGCCCAGTGATTTATCATGACCATAGTGCCCTTCGGTATGTCGTATTCATCTGAAACATCCAGAGATTACATAAATAGACCATGATAATATTAAGCCTTCAGAGGTATCTTATGTAGTTGTGATAACAGAATTTGACTTTCTTTCTAACAATTATTACTTTTGCCGGTATACTTATACATAACACATGTAATATGCTATAGTTTATAAGTATTTTCGAATAGAAGAACGTTCCTTTAAAAGAGAATACATACATAATTTTGAATCGTTTCTGGCCGCATGTGGAACACCAAACGGTGCCACAGATGCAATCCGCATGACCTCATGTAAAACAGCCTCGGTGTAGGGCATTGCATTTCGATCCCCAAGTCCAGGAAGACGATCACCTCCTGTCAATCACATACACATGAGAAATATTCACAAAACAGCAAAGAGATTCAAACACCTTCCTTAAAAAGAAGAAAAACGATCAAAGTGTAAAAACCACTGTCACACTGCTGACAAAACACTAGCGAATCCACCGAAGTTCCCATACCTACATAAACCTTTCGTTAAGTTTGTTTTGTATACAACTGTGGTCGGACAGGGCCAGTAAACTATCAGTGCATTTTACTCTCACAACACTCTTTCATATTTGTCTTATTATTGTTTTCATCTTTATTGATTTTCATGCAAGTTCCATCAGGTAAGCAGCTCTTTTCAGAAATGATTCAGTAAGCATATCGTCATTCTAGTAAACAGTTTCCTATTTATTTTTTTGGCGATGGTACGGCGATCCTTGAATAACGCTCCTTTAATCAGATTGAATACCTTTTGAATTAACAAAGTCTGTATTCAATAATAAACAAGTTATTCGGATTGATATGTCTTGCCTGTGCCCCACTTTGACCATAAATGAACATATCAGTGAAACTGCCTTAAACGCAAAAACTAATTGTTGATGGAGATGCAAACAAAGTCAATGGACCATGAAAGGTAGGCCGCATCCAACATTTGATGCATAGGTTGAGATGTACTACCTAAGATGCATCTATAGTCCAAGTTTGGTTGGTCTAGCACTTATCCTTATGTAAAACAAAGTCAAACGCAAAAACTGAATGTTTACCCTGCCGCCGTCGCCGAAAAAGTTACACGTTGGTACCTCGTCGTGGCGAGACAATATAACTAGGAAACAGTTTTCGCCGGGGTTGGTTACAAAACTGGCACCAGAAATTCTCTTTTATGCCCATCTGGCAAAACGATAGTGAATACGCTGTAACGAAAGTTGAAAAAAATCTTGTTTCACAATTGTTTTAAATTGAATTAAGTTTATATTAAATTACAAACATTTACATGTATGCTACAAACGTTGCTTCTGGTACATACCCACAGCTGTGTCGATTTCCTTCTGAGCTATTTTCTGTTCTTCCGGATTAGCAGCCATATAAAGAAAGAACCACTGTAGTGTAAAACGTGTGGTGTCGAATCCAGCTGAAATAAAAGCAGCCAATTAATGAGAGGTTAGCGAACAAAGGGCATTAGATTATGGAACAAACAACTTCAAGGTGGGAATCTTAAACCTCGCAATTACAAAATAAGCTCTTTTGGACAACCTGTTACCATTTCCATATAAAAAACAGCAAAATCCTCGATAACATTTATTTAGTTGCAAATGCAACATGTATGACTGTTCTAGTTTGCATGTATATTCCACTAACCAACCAAGCTGTCCTAATATATGGACTTGACTTTGCATTGCGTGTTCAGTATGAAATTAAATTGACCCTGCGTTCATGACACTATGAACACAATAGTACCACACGATTTTGTTTTCTACGTTCATATCGGTATGAATGTCTAACACGTAGGTAACATCATATATTTCACAACTCTGTTTTAATTTTGATGAAAGTTACGTGTTTTGCTTTATATAACATGAGTTGAAATATATATGATGTTATGACACCAACATATCTTGTTTCCTACCAGGCAAGAGTGATCAACGTTTTATCATTCCTACAATAGTATATTGAACAGAAAGCAATCACATTCGAATGCAGCAGCCTCATTAAAGAGCTCTGATGCGCGGCTATATCTACCGAGCTAGTTTGTTTATTATATAAATACAGTTCTCTGATATATTATGAAGTAATTGTTTTATCTGTACAATAAAGTTTTCATTAATCCAATCATTAATATGGTTTTTGAGTCGTATTTTGATAAATATAATTTCGTCTTGGCAGTGTCAACAATAATGTATATTCACAGTAAAAACATATTATGTATTTATGGTTAAACGTATTTAAATTGTTCAACGATTACACATGTAATTATTGTGTTTTGAGCAAGTTATCGTCATACAATGAAACGGCTTTGATAGAAAATCATAGCATTTGGTATAATTTGAGGGTTTCATTAATTAATAGGGCCATAGCAGCGCAGCTCATTGGAATGGGTTATTAAAGTCCTTCAACTAAAGCTACAGATATCGTATGAAGAGGTGTGGAATCACGCAAACCATGCTGTTTTTATCAGTTCGATCACTATAGATAATAGTGTATGAGTGAAATATATAACATGAAACTATAACATGTAACTAAACTCTGATACCACAGCAAACCATCGCATGGGCTGCGCCTATCGTATCGAGCTGAACAGATTTGAAGGGATACTCGTTGCATCAAATGGACAAATACGAATTGCGATATAATCAAAACATTTCCATACATAGTACCATGAACGTAAGAAGATTCAAACTTATTTCTAAAGTTTTGATGAGCTGTCCTTCAAATATTATTTTCAAATGATATCAAACTATTGTTCGTGATAACGTACCAAAGAAAATGTCATTCAGAGTCTGTCTCAGGTGAGCCTCAGTTAGTTGGTCTAGGAGTTCCGTATCTTCGTCATTTTCTGCCTCCTTTCTTGCCAGAATTAAGGCGTCAGCAAAGTCTCTAATATTACCTGTATATTGTGTTATAAAATAACATCAGTTATAATGATACATTTTTATTTTTTACAAAATGTCTTTCTGGATAAATGATAATTTATTCTTGGTCTTGTATGTGAAAAAAATAAAACGTAACCTTCGTCGAAAGACGTTATGTGCTCCTGTAGTTCATCATCCAGAAATTGAAGAACTTGTTCCGCCAGTTGCATTGCTTTGTTGAATCGGCTACTTGGCCAAATCTTCAACAAAAATGGAAACAGATCTTCTAAGAAACCTGATCCAAAAGTGGTTATTAGTTCGTTGTCTAAATCCACCAAGCGTTTGAATCTAGGGTCGTCAAACTTATACCTATACAAAACAAAAAGACACCGAACAAATTTTTAATGAGTATGAAGTGCAACAACGACTTTACCGTCAAAAGCAGATGTCGATGGCATTATTGATTCACATATAATAAATTAAATGCGTCAGGATTTTTTTTTATCATATAGAAGTACATTTAAGAATACTTATGACAAACACACAAATATTTGCACCAGATATGAAAAATCAAGTTGCTGGTATTAAATACGAATCCTGCAATAATGCTCTGAAGGTAAATTATCGAAAGATATTTTACTTGTCTTGAGTATTAATAATATTTTTTTTTATCTTGTCATAAGTTCTTTCTGTACATGTAACCACTCTACCAATATGAACAAAGAACGTAAGTAAGCGTGCTACTGTAACATAGACAAAGAAAGTAAACCGATGATTGCTCTATGAGCAGAAAAACTGTATATATCATATATAATCGCTCAAGGATAGATTTACATACTTCGTTTAATCCCCACCAAAGCCCAACCAAACCCAACATCGTTTTAATATTGTTTCGAATGCAACAATTTCATCCAATGAATTATTCACTCAAAAAAATCATTCATACAAAGACAACACCCTATGACTAATAAAAATAATTACACTTTGTGGAAGCAAAGTCCATGGATTATGTTGAAAACAGCAAGATCTATGTAGGGGTGGGGAACAAAAGGTTCTTCCTTCAAGTTCTCAAACAACTCGATAACCTGTGACAGGGATCCGTGAATAGCTTCCTCCAGCTTGCCTCCCTTCAAGTATGTTCTAAAAAAAGGCAGACAATGAAACAGAGAACAAAACGTTAAAATGCCCGTGTCGTTACCCAAACACAATATTGAAAGTCAATGTCGATAGAGGAAATCCTACGATAAGATGTGACCTCGCCGCTGATTGGCTTCTTAATGTAACGGACCAATCAGCGCTGAGGTCACAAAAGTTAGAGAAAATTGCAAGCTCTATTCAGATTTACGATTGTCAGCCTGACCATCTTGAAAGCTGGACTCTGGTGTCTGACATGATAATGTTACGCCATGAACTATCATACAAGTAAGTTTTTTTCCTATCCTAGAAACACTGTACCGACATTGGATATGTTTTGCGCTACCCACTAGGGATTTAGCGTGTCATCCCGTGGACAGCACGGTGTCCGACCAACTGAAATTCGACAATTTTTCGATGTTTTATGAAATCTACCGAAAATTATACTGCATGATATATGGGAAATTAAACAACAAATTAAAGAAAAAATATTTTCCTGTCGATCTAGACTGCTCCCGGCGTCATACTATGAACGGTTATGACAAAATCGCATGTTTTCCGGAACCAGGTCATTTTACTAGGGGGACAGAGTTGGCAACCTTGATAATATTATAGGTGTATTGACAGACGAGGCTAGTACCTGTGTTTGAAGTGAGTGATCTTGCGACGGAGCACATGGGGTTCGTTACAAATGTGTCAGTAGGTCTATAGCATATGTGTATATGCATTTGTAACGAACCCCTGTTGATCAGTGCAGTGTAGCAGACGATATTTCTGATTAATTGCATGAGTGTTAAATCGTTTCCAATGCCGGCATTGGTTATTCAAACCGATGTGCATTTTGTACGATATTGCAGACCTTGGTCTTGTTTGTGTTGTACATGTAATAACATTTTATTTTTTTTATATATTTTCATTTTTCTTTTGAACATTTACAATTACATTGTAAAGTCGCACAATGCCCAGCGATGTTTCAGCAGCCGTCATGTTTATTTACATTGGATATTCTAGTTCCGGTTGGTGTTGTATTAATACGCAAATAAATATGTCTCGTGGTGCATGGTATTTAAAGTCCCATCAACGATAAGGATAAAGGAAATAAACAATAACATGTTTTCATTATATAACATTTCAGGTAGTTTTCTGAGAATTATATGAGCACTGAACCAAACTATACTCATTTTAAAAGACAACTATTCTACTCACCTGAGAGCAGAACCAGCGATCTTCCGGTGGAGTTTCCATGTAGGGGTGTAGTGCGCGAATGCAATGTCCTTTCCGCCTTCCGAAAATTTGTTTCCTTCATTAAAAGATACACATTCCATTTTAAGTATTTAATAGATTAAGTACTGTGTTATGTATGTAATTTGCATGTTACACAATGTCAAAACAAATTTTATCAATTATAATCAATATAATGTTGAACAATGATCGAACTCTTGTGTAATATAGCTGACTTTAGAGATTATCTTAAACGTTAAGTATCGTCTCAAATCTAGTTGATATTTCAACAGTAATAATCGATATGGTATTTTTCCTCTCTGTGCAAGATATGTATTAATTTTCTTCGGTGTTCAAAGTCCTCGCTTCTGCATAGTTTGGATAAAGACAGGTAACCGGGAATATCTGTTGAAAAGCAACGGTAAATAGGAGGGGGAAAGACAGGGGTTTAAACGTATGGCAGAGGTCTGAAGATTTCAAAGATGTCCCCTTAGGAAAGAAATCCCCCGTTCAGCAAATACGATTGCATGAAGTAGAATATCGTGCTTAAGAGATGACAATAAATACACATCAGTATGCAAAAACATGGAAAGTTTTAGCTGTTTGTTAGTGCGAGAATATCTACAACTTCATTTGAGTGTCTTAGATTATGAAATGCTGTTTCATGTATACATTACTTTTCACAAATCAACGATGATATAACTTAAGTTAAACCAATAAACAATTCCGGCTGATATATGCCATTAAAGAAAACAACATGATAAAGTTCAGTACTTTTATACAACAAAATTAATTTTGTACTCATTAGGAATCTGGTAGAAATGTCATATAATGCTTACCTAATTACCAATGAGGTGATATACTGTTAGAAAATCAACAAAGTTGTTAGAAACAACTAAGCAAACAAGTTGTAAGCCAACCATAAGTACTGTTATTTTCAATTTAGCCAATCAACAAGACTGTCATATACTGTACCTGATGGAAACTCTACACGATCGGCAAAATCCGCCTTACTTTTAACCAAGACTTCCGTTGCAGCTTCGATTGTATTTACAATGATAACTGGGGACATTCCTGTCAAAGAAGAAATACGTCTGATCAATTATTACGTAACGCATACTGGGTTAATATGTTTGTAACGTGTCTACCGTGATTTTCAACGAATGAGTCAATGTATATATTTTTCGTGTGAATTTATGTGAATAATTCTTGAATATTTTGTGAAGTCAAACGTATATATTCGCAATATAATTTAACTCGTATTTTGTTTTTTTACATACTTCTTGCAGCGCATACGATACTCACTCAGGGAGACACGTCTTAAAAGATTTTAGTTGTTAATAAGATATTAAATCCTATTTATCAAAGTCTTAACCATGGGAATAAACGCATACGATTTCGATATTATAATGCGAGACTACAATACAGTCAAAAGAAATAGGAAAAAAACCTCTTGAATTTTAGACTTTAAGAAAATATTATTTCAGTGTCTCCAAAAAGACTTGATCATGGACAAATGATTTTAAAGTCATGTACCATTTCAAGATGTAAGAATCTCAAAATGATTTTTGAATTGCCTTGCACAAATAAATCGTGTTATACATCCAATATGAAATACGAAACTCATGAAACCAGTATATATAGAGGTTACACAACGAGTGGTTGTTGAATATGCTATTTATTTCACTCGAGTTAGTTAGTTTTCAAAAGTTACAAAAGACACGAGTTTTAGCGAGTGTCTTCCTGTAACTTTTGAAAACTAACTAACGAGAGTGAAATAAATACCATACTCAACAACCACGAGTCGTGTGATCTGTTTCTACCACAACCTCAGTCGGAAACAGCTGGAGTATTTCCTGATTTGAATAGCATACACACATTTTGTTGACAAGGCTGGCGTAGTGATATGACCCATATGTAAAAGGTCATTCATTAATATTCAAAAATGACTTCGTGAAAATATTTAATAGATGAACGACTTTAAATATTGAGAGTATGCAATATTACATTAATTAATATAAATTAACCACGGACTATATGCGCGTAAGCATATCGAACGAAGTCTGCCTCCCGCCAAGTGATGAAGACGAACTAATCGCTGCCAATTTCCAAAACCATAGGCCTGAGACATTTCTTCGTGAGGTTCTATGGTTGACGTTTATAGTGAGAGTACCGCCATAGAAAGGCCCTCCAAAAATTAATAACTAGACATGGGGAGAACGAAAGATTTTACGACACTGTTACAGATCTTGTTTGGGTTTCACAGAGACATATATATTACGTCTCTGGGTTTCACGACCTAGACACGCGACGGTATGGCGTCGAAACAATATCGAGCGACTGTAGCAATTTTGCCTGAAACTAGCGATCAAATCTTTAAGCATCATCTTCTTTTGGTTTTGCCCTAATAACCCCCTTTTCCCATCGCATAACCTCACAAACGTCACCAACATTTGCCGGATGGTGACAGCAGACGACGTAAACAAAACAGCACGCGGCAAAAAGCGCGTGAAAAAAGTCGTCCGGTCAAGGTTCATCTTCTCGACCAATCAAAAACTACGGAAGGTCATATACCACGTGTGGTGTGTATAACTCATATTTATTCAACAATCTGCATCTTTATACAATGATCTGAGAGTGGAATAACACAGCGTATTGTGGTAGAAGTACAGATAAGTTACTGCATAGGTAGATGTTTGATGAATGTAATGAAAAATATAATGGTCAATATTATAAATGGTATATCTACCAGTAATGACATAGTTGATTTACCTGTGCACGGAAAACATAATTCAGGTATTCATTTAAAACGATGTGACGTGCGTGACCCGCTCTATATGAAACCCACTTTCAACTGAAAAATTATATACTCCTGCGTCTTCAGACACTACAGACCAATGTCCTTAAAGTTTACATATATGAACATAATGTGAAATAACATATGACAAATGAATTGCTTTCCCTTTGTTCGTCGAAATATTATTTCCAAATTATGATAATTGTTAATATTCAAAGACTGGCCTTTGCTAGTCGTAAACACGAATTTTTAAAATGCCATCATTTGAATAACTTTCTGAACCTTATCTGTGTTTGTTCAATGAATGTAATCATTTTATATCTTCATACGGAGGTTTAGTTCTGAATTGTATTGACTATATATATCTTTTTAATATCCAAGAGAAAATATGTTCGTTAAGATATTGTTAAGGCAACCGGGTCTTTTGCACAATTGGACTGAGAGATACGTATTGAGACTATGTATTGGGTTTGAATTTTACTTACCCAAGTATATGGTGATGACAGGACCGTACTTATGTGACAGTTTCACGCAGCTCGCGTGAAAGTCTTTGTCCCCCATCACTACAATATAAATGACCAGAAACGTGTAGAATAATGAATGTTCATAAGTCAATTGGATATTTACTTTATTTATTAGCATTCAATAGGTACAAGGTACTTATATTTACAGAACAATATCTAAGTTATAGAATTGAGTTGGTTGGGAAATGCTTCTTAAAGATGGGATGGCTGATTTTTGAAACGTGACAGCAGAGTAAAAACCGGTGGAGTCAAGAAAATTGTGTATTATGCATCAGTTTAAACTCTAAACGTGGCCCAATTCAAAATCTCTTGGCTTAAATATGTGTTAAATAACACGCCTTCTCCATACTGTTCACCAAATAAATATATGAATAATACAAGAGAGTAAATTAGTGTCTTTAAAACCGTTATTCGAAATCCAAATCAAGAAAACTGAGCCAAGAAGAGCATCGAAAGAAGAACACGACCAGGTGTTTCGGTTATCAAGCGTCGTATGTTTCTGCGACACCCGCCATGAAAATGTATGTAAAATTCAAGGAATGTCACGTCCTTCTAATGAGAACTGGGAAAGTGTAATTGTATTGCCATTAAGACAGAAACTATATATGAATTGTAGTTATCACTTTAGAAAAAATTAATATATCTATTACGAAACATATCGCTGACATTTTCCCACGATCCCTTAATCAAGATATACTATTTATGTAATTGATGTATTAATGCGCATCAATACATATGATTGAGTAAGAAAAGATAAACAAATAGACTGTAATCAATTATGCACCCCCTCTTAAATCTTTTCATTTGATATTTGTAAATGCCTTGTTACAGAAAATTGAATCTAAAAGTGTGTTGTTTTTGCATAGACATTTGTTTTACATTTTGTATGTATCTTAAATGCATTTTATCGATTATTCAGACATTTGATTACAACCATTGTGCTCGGTTTTCACATCTTTCTCGGAACAAATGTTCTGACACATCTGACGTGAATCTTACGGCTGTAGTTGCCGACGACAGGTATTGGTGTAGGTCCTGGTGGAAGGTTGTACTTGCTCCGCTTTATCAGCCAATAGACTGACAGACCAGCCCCGAGTCCGACCAGAGCGGATGTTGGTGTGACATATTTATGCATGGGTCCGAGCGTCTCCTTCAACTGTTGGAAGCCGTCTCGAAGTTGATCTTTTATATCCTCCATATTTTGTACACTCTATATGCTAAAATTGAGGAAAGAATAAGTCAGTTCATTCTTGTATAAAGCAACCAACAAACATATGCATGAAAAGCAAACACTTTATGATTGAGCTTATCTATTTTAGTGACAAATGAAAAATATTGGAACAAACCGCCATTAACCCACACCAGACATCTATCTTTCAAAATGTCGTCTAAGTCTGGTGTCAGGGCCAGAGGAAATTTGGGCTAATTCACAACTAGATAATCGCGTTTGTGACCGAAAGGACTAGTGTTCCGAATAGATGAGGCCTGATTCAAATAGCAAAATGAGAGATGCTATGGAAAATCCAGGTTAAACACATATACCCTTGGCGACTCTTATGTAAACGAACACATCAATCCGAAATGAAATCCGTCGCATATATAAAGATATGTACAATGGCGGTTAAATTGACATGCATATATAAATGGAATATATCTATATAGAAAGAACATCTAGGTAGGTTAGCAGTTGACAACGCGTTCTTAACCATTTGATCAAGTTCAGAACTATAACAGTGTAACAATACACACACCTAACGTATTTAGGAGGAGGTCCTTATATCCAGAATATTTTCATATAAATAAAATATTTGCCTCAAAGTCCAGTAAGGAAAAGGTCCTTATATCTAGATTGTTTACATATAGTGTGACACTTATATAGCTGAACTATATACACATCTTGCTAACAGATATTAAGGGCCTTTACCGAAATAAGTTATGTGTGTGTCAGGGAGTGTTGTACATATCTTTAGTTCAATTATGTATTACTGCAATATAGACTATTCTGAACTTGGTGGAAGCATTGACAGATAAAACTATATAAATATCACATTCATGAGAGGGCGATATTGCATATTTTCATCCCAAGGAAGCATTGTTGAACTCGGCTTCGCTTCGGTCAACAATGCTTTCCGAGGGATGAAAAAATGCAATATCGCCCTCTCATGAATGTGATTTTTTATTTTATTATACCGAGTGTCATGTTTAGGTGTTTCACCACTTAACCATTTTTAAAGGTCGACAAACGTTTCAGAAAAGTTTTCACTGGGATGAACCAGGGGCGCATACATTCGGCGCATGTAACAATTTTTGGAATAACACACTGGCACTGGGACGAACCGTGCACGCATACGTTTGGCGCATGTGATATTTTTTGGAATAACACCCTGGCACTGGGACGAACCGTGCACGCATACGTTTGGCGCATGTGATATTTTTTGTAATAACACCCTGTCTTCTTTATCTTTGTAAAACGAGCAAGTAACATTGAAAATGTTCACATCTTTCTCAACCAATCAGATTACGAGATTTTAACAGAAGGTATAATAAAGATTCTTATTACAGTAAAGTAGCGAGGTACACTTACTTATTCAATAACAAAAAGTAAGTATTCAGATAAAATTGTTATTGTTGTGATCTGATGCATGTCCAAATGAAAATGGCAGTACCTGGCTTTTGTGTCAAAAAATAAGCAATTATGAATAAAAATGTTTAAAAAAGTGTGATGAAACATCCACATCCCCTATCCATTCTTTTCTTGAGATTTGGTTAAGATTATATTGATAAATACAGTTTTATTAGATTAATGTATGGTGCTAATGTGTAATTATGCTCAAAGTAGAAAGTTTCGTTGACAAAATTAAATGGATTAATAACAAGGTCACTGTGACCTACTTATCAACTATGCGCGAGTTTTTATCGATAATTTGTATCGTTTGCATCTTGAGTGTAACATACTACATCAAGATGATGAAGGATAGTATGCGGTTTTGTGATTTTGGTCTTACCCCCTCGTATGTCGGTCTGATCATTAAGCTGACTTTAATTTCATGTCATATCATGACGGCATACCACCCAAGGTAGATATATGCCAAAATGTTGTTCGGAGATCAGAAACTTCATTTACTCGGATTTCAAGGAAGGACGGGTGAATTTTACCCAAATAGATAAATATATATATATATTTCATACCTCATTGCATCATGTTATATCCTGTTTTCATTATGGGATATACGTATTTATTACGTCACCTAGAAAATATACTGAACAAAAAAAAAAAAAACGCACAAAGTTCCCCGCTGAAGTACACCTTAGCTGTAAGGAAATAATGGAATATTTAGTCAGGTATTACATCAAGAACGATCTCTCTTCTCAACAATTTACCCTAAAATCAGCCAAGCGTGACGATGTCATTGTGTGTCTTTGTGAGGTTCTTTAGTCCAAATCACGCGGCGTGATCAAGCCAAGCCGGAGTTTTTCAAACAAATAATCTCAACGGATACTCTAAGTTCAGACACATTAATTTTCCACGTTGGCATTTTGATTTCGCCATTGACTGAGATGCCACGCGATAGATTCGGTGGAGCTTCTGTAATGGTTTGGGGAGGCATCTCCCATGGAGTAAAATCTCCCATAGTGGTCCTGGATCAAAACCTCAATGCCGTTCGATACAGAGAATAGATCCTCCAACCACATGTCCTTCCACTTCTCAGACGTCATAACCTAATTTTCCAGCAAGACCGCATGTTGCCAGAGTCTGTCGTGACTTTCTCACGGCAAACAACGTTCAGCCTCTGGAATGGCCCCCATATAGCCCCGACATGTCTCCCAATGAGCATCTATGGGATGAGCTGGACAAGCGTATTAGGGAACGTACCCCCCCCCCCCCCCCCCCCCCCCNATCGCAGCATTAACACAAGAATGGAACATGGAACAACATTCCCTTAAGGCGAATACATGTTCTAATGAATTCAATGCATAGGAGAATCCGTGCAGGGATTCGTGCAAAAGGTGCCTACGCCAGGTAGTGAAGTGTCATTTTGTTTTTCGCGATTATCCCACTTTGAGTAACTACTGATGACACGAATGACGTCACACAGACTTTTCTTCTACAGCATTGTGAAGAGTAGACTTGTCCCTTCATAATGATATAGTTTTTTGTACAAAGAGGTATGGCGAAAACTGCCCGTATTTCCCTATGAAAACGGAGAAAAAAATTAAGGAGTAAAACATTTCGTGTAGCCAAAATGCATACAAAAGATACAAAACCAATTGAATATGATTTTTCAAACTGCTGAGAAATTAGGTATTGCTAATATGATACTGCAAATATAGCCATATACACTATATCTATGAAAGTGATGGGGTTTCCCGGACTTAAAAAAATACTTTCAACACTTTCCCATCCGAGGACCAACTTTTGAATAAACTTTTTGTGACCGTGATGTAATATGCAAAAACAAATCGTATTACGGAAAAGTGGTCCTCCTTTGGGAAAGTGCTCAATTAATGAAAAACAGGGGTGATCAAGTTTCTCTAAACTGCGACCGGTGTTTCTCGGGTTAAATTAGTTTGTAATTGCCAATATCTATATGTTCGAATGAGTAACGCAGTGACTAGAAAATAAACGGTGCAGGTTCGAATCCTCCTTCAGGTATTTTTTGTTTTAAATATTAAGGCATGTTATCATTTTCCTTAATAAGGCAATGGTGTGGGTTTTTTCTAAATCGATGGAAGATTTTGTTTACATTTTAATAACATACCTATTGATTTATCATTTTTTTTAGTAATAATTTCTTTACTATTTAGTGCGACATACTTATATCGAAGCATGTCAACAAATCCCTGTACACGTGTACAGTACAGCTACGTTTTGTAGGTAAGACACTATTTTTGATGAAATTTGTGAATTGTTAGTATATCAAGTACTTAAACACCAACAAATAATGCCGAATTACCAAATATGTGGTATGTTTACAATAATCTATTCTTAGACACGGGATTCCGATATTGCTACCTGTATAAAAATACCTGAGGACGCGTCATAACAGTGCACGGTTGGATGCGCGCACTAGCGTAACATAGCTTTGGGGAAATAGGCATAGCAACCCGCCATATCTCTTTCCTAAAATATCATAGGCTATTGATTGCATAATTTAATTGTGCGTTTCTTTTTTTTGTTCAGTATATGAACATTACCTGGGTGACTCAGCAGTAATACGGATCGAATTCCAGCGCTCCTACCAGTTAGCCCGAGTTTCCTCTGACCCTAACACCGGACTTAGACTTTTTGACATATAGATGTCTACACCAGACATCTATATGTCAAAATGTGTAAGTCTGGTGCTAGTGCCACAGGTAACTCGAGCTACATACCAGTATGAATGTTAACAATCCGTTTGATACGCATAACTACGTTACATATATTTTTTATCATTAAAGAGATCAAAATATAAAGATTCTGAAAAAAATGCGATATGCAAAGTCAGTGATAACGACATCACTGGAACAATCTAACGTACGTCATCTAAATGTTTGATACTTACGACTGTCTCACATTACAAAAGTCGGCATTAGAAACTTCAAAATTATACTGATCAAATAACGTTCTCAGCCCTATTAATGTCATTTCTTCTAGAAGTTTAAAATACAATCTTGTAGAAGATGTAACCACGTATGTAGTCTTACTATACCTCTGCTCACGTGTACATTGTGTATTATTTTAGCATTGAACTGTTTTTGTATGGTATTTATGATATATATTTGAATGACAGCTTTGCAAGCAAACATCATAATGCAGACTAGCGCATTATGATTTGTTTGCTTGCAAAGCTGTGTCATTCAAATAGATCATAAATACCATACAAAAACAGTTCAATACTTATATTTACGTTTTCTCTGCCTTTTATGTTCTTTTTTAACTTACAAATTTATATCTAAAATTTAAAAATCCCGCTTTATCGACAGTCCACACAAATTCGTTCAATAGTTGGAATAGTGTATTGTAGCGTGCCGATTGGCAAACAAAGTAGTATCTTGAAATGTTACAAACACTTCAATTTTATTCCACAATTCAGTATCAATACAATTGCGTATGATATGTCTTTAGGGTGATTTAAGTTTATCAATAGAAATATGAGCTGAAAGTAAGATTAGAAATTGTTTCGATTTTTCCCCGGAAAGAATTTCGCGCATTGATAAATACATTGAACACCGCAATCCGACCTTGTGCTCCACTAGGAAGTTATTTTTAGAAGTTGAATGAGCAGAGAAAAGTTCGAATCTGTGAAGAATCCAGACGTGAATTTACTTGCTGATTGTATGGAAACCTGACTACGGTCAGTAGATTCTACAACAGCCTCATTATTTGACAAGTCGTCAGAAACTGAGGAAACCGTGGCTGATAGACGCGTACGTGATACTGCTAGCGTTTGAATTGCGTGATCTTGCGACAGAGCGCAGGGGTTCGTTATATTACAAATGTCTGAAATACACATATGCCTTGTGTGTGTTTATGTAGGTCTATTACATATGTGTATTTCAGACATTTGTAACGAACCCATACGATATTTCTGATAAATTGCATGAGTGTCAAAATTGTTTCCTTGCCGGCATTGGTTGTTTTAACTGATGTGCGTTTTGTACGATATTGCAGACCTTAATCTTGTTTTTGTTGTAATAAAAGTGTTTTTTTAATATTTTCTCTTTTTCTTACACAATTGCAATAACATTGTCAAGTGTCACAATGCCCAGCGATATTTCAGCAGCTGTCATGTTTGTTTACATTGGATATTGTAGTTCCGGTCGGTGTTGTATTATTCCGCTAAGAGTTTTGTCTCGTGGTGCATGGTTTTTAAGTCCCATCAACAACTCAGCTTTCAAATAGCTTATATAGTGACAATACCATGCAAATGTAAATAGTATGTGTATATACAGTAAAACACGTACACACGTATAAACACTTTACTTTAATATTTGGTTTGGACAATCTTACACATCACTTGTCACCTTTCAACGTTGCATATATGTATAATATAGTAGATTTGATATGTATACATGCATGTACATTAGTTTTAATATCGTAGCATTTCCCTATAACATACATGGCCTTCAACTAGCTGAATCATAATCACAATTAGAACTAGAATGCTATTTACAAGACATATACTAGTACGCATTGACATTTTACGCTACGATCTCAAAACCTCTCGTTTACCAATTGTACTAAAATCAAGCACACTTACCTCTGTGGTGAGCTTCGCCACTGTGTGTTCAATACAGTTCTGCTGTCGACGCAAATGTATCTAGCTAGCTACACCGAGACGCAATGTTTGTTATTATTTCTAAGTCTCCCTATATATACACCATATAAATGACCAGTGCCAAATGCTAGTAACACAAATATATCTATGATAACGCAATATTCCACGGTTGTTGCGATGATATAAAGGCCGAAGTACACGCCGCGTATACCATGTCAGTCGCTGTACGTGCTAAATAATGACACTTGTACGTGTTACCCATTGACTGCAGGTACGCATATATAGGTGGACAGGTGTATACACTAACACTATGTATGCCTGTTTCGGTCAATATGTAAATAATCAATTGCGTTGAGCGTATTCAGGGCTGCCTCTAGGTAGTGGGCTTGCACCGGTTGCTCAAAGGTTGATTAGAGTTAATCAGTGGGAGGGAGAAACTTAAAAAATGAATATAACACCATCAAGAACATCTGACATCATTTAGCTGTTATGTGTTGGTTTGGACAAATAAAATTGATGTGATTTGAGAATTAATTTTGCTTCCAAACCTTTTGGGTTTTTTTGACAGCGATTTAAAACTTTCACTAACTAACAGTTAAAGCTAACCAACCTTTGAGCAACCGGGGCCCGATCACTGAACTAGGCCTATAGCTACCGAGTGTCACCCCCTATAACGGGTACAGCTAAAATTGATCTTCACCGGTAAATGTGTATGGATTTTTACCGGCGTAGAAGGATGACAGTTACAGTTAATAATTTATCCTTTACGTGTTATGTTGTATCTTGTGAAGACAATATAAGGCCGTGTATGTTCAACTTATTATCTTGTTTGAATAACATTGTTTCAGCAACCCAACGGTTTACCAAACATTTGAAAATATGTTTCATTGACGCCATGTCTGTTGCAATAAGTTAACTGACACCTCCAGCTTAAATCCTCAAATTTACAAGTTCTAAATTCTTATCTGATTGGAGATAGATAACTTAATATTTTACATACCAGATTAAGAAAAAGAGCTAGTACCTTGAATAATGCTTTATTCTATGCAAATTTAAAACATTTCCGACACTGTCAATGTGGCCATCCCGTTAAAGATACCTATCATTTCTGTTTTGCTTGTAACAATTATGTAAAACAAAGAAATAATTATATCGTGAACTGAGGGATTTCATTCCTCTGGACCTGCAGCCGACACTTTTTGGTTGTTTGTAATTAAGCCAACAGGAAAACGAAATAATATTTCAACACACTCGGTAATATATTCTAGATTCACATAGATTTTGATATAAATCCCCCGCCCCCGACAAACACACAAACACACACACAAATACACACAACCATTATCCTCCACTTTTCTACAGAAATTGTACGAACTTCTTATTAATTACCTATGTTGGAATTTAATAAGTCGACAATCATTTTTATATTAAGTGTTGAAGAGTCGTGTTTCTGATCTTCCGCGATACAAACGGCACTAGTGAAACGAAAATACCAGAAGGAATGGAATTTACAAGGAGAAGTCAACAGTGGCATGGGAAGGGATACACTTTCGAAAAGCTGAGTGTTATGGATAATGGTCAGTGTTACTAGTCAGTGTCGGAGTATATCACTACCATGGTCTCACATTAAATATCTACAAGCAGTGATCCACTCCCGTCTCTCTCCATCCCACCCCCTCTCTCCCTCTCTCTCTCCCTCTATGTAACACTTAACTTAATTGAAAATATCAATTGATTTAAATGCCATCTTGTATATATATATATATATATATATATATATATATAATTCTGTTATTGGAAAAGGCTTTATATAAGTTGGACAACTTGTGCCCAACCCTTTTGTATATTAGATGCAAATAAAAACATGTTTAAATCAAATTCTCCAGTTGTATTTGCACGATAATAATTAAGCTGTATGTATACAAGATAATCTGTTGCACGTACAAGATAATGAGTTGTTCGTAAAAGATCATAAGTTGTACGTGCAAAATAATAAGTAAGCTGTATTTATACAAGATATTCTATTGCACGTACGAGATAATAAGTTATTCGTAAAAAAATGAATTGTAAGTAGGTGTATGTGCAAGATAATAATTAAGCTGTACTTGCACAAGATGTTCTGTTGCACGTACTAAATGATTTTGATTTTGTTAAAGATTATAAGTTGTACGTGCACGATATAATTAAGCTGTATTTTTACAAGATAATTTGTTGCAAGAATAAGATAGTATGTCATTCCTAAAATATGCATTGTAAGTAGTCGTATGTGCAAAATAATAATTAAGCTGTACTTACACAGGATGTTCTGTTGCACGTACTAAATAAACAGTTGAACGTTAAGGATAGTGTGATATGTTTTACGTTGAATATAAATTGTTTTGTGCATAGTAGTTAATACAAAGATAATATCTTTTCCACGTACAAGATAATATGGTATAAATGTTACAAGATGATATTTTAAGATCAAATACTTTTTTACTATGATCTATATACGCCATAATCTACCACGTCTGTGATGTAACGGCGGTTTTCATTGGTTAAAAAGAGTGCATTATTGAGCGATATACCATGCGCGTGCCAATAACCAATGCACGTGAAATATTGCGCACGCATGCTGTTCCAACAACCTCCCCGTATTTTAGCATGAATTAACAAAAATAGCATAACTGTCAGGCGGGATCAAAATATTTGACAGGTCGGCCATTCAAAAGATTACATGGATATATAGACCTAAAGTATGTGGGTCCGTGCAGTGAAAATGGTTTATTAATTATTGACATTTTAAATGTACAGGTGAAGACAAAATGGTAAATTATTAATTACTTCTGATTTTACTTCACTGGGTAGTGCCGTACATTTCTCGATGTGTGCAGTGTGTGTACGTACTGTCAAGCGTTGATTTCATGTTTTGACGAACGGTGTCGATAGCGTGCCAATGTTTGATTGATTGAAATATACATCGTATCTGCCGTCGCACGTGTTCAGTTGTTTCTGGTCTGCAAAACGTCGTCTGCTTTCAAAATCAAAGTGATGTCGATCATTCGCCTACAGTGTACATACCGTGTGTGAAGGATAATGTTGCAAAAAGTAGCATCGGTCTGAACAGTGGTTGCAAAACACAGCTGTCCGGTAAAGTCGGTGAAGGTGAAGGTCGCGTCATGATCAGCCAGTCAGCGACTTTCCATCACGTCATGGCAACCAACTAGATATGCCAACTCATGTCAGGCCTATCGTATGATGTTGTATCACTGGCACTTCCAAGAAAATTCGCTTGATAACGGTACGATGATGATGGTTTTAGAAGTAAACGCAATCCGGGAATCCCAACCCTACGCACTGAGAAATGTTGGCGCGACATTGATCAAGTTAAAACGAGGCAACACGTGCACGATCACGTGATAAATCTTGCATGCGCAAAAGGACAGCATCTAATTTGCATATCGAATTATCTAGGTCATGTCGCCTTTTAAGACAGCAAAACTTTACAATTAGTTACATTTGACGTGGTAGAATAAAAATAATCAACTTATGTGCGTGCATAAGCGGCTTTCGTTAATTATTTTTACCAACATTTTCTCACCCTCGTTATATATTCCACCATAATGCACGCACATATGTTGATTATTTCTCAAGTAATTATTGTCGTTAACTTCCGGATTGCGGTTAATATGTGTATATTTTTGTTATAGATAAACTACTTAATATTCATGACCAATAGTATATGGTGATGAAGTACGCAAATCTAGTGTCATATTATCAGTCTTATGCAATATTTTATTTTGTCAAACTCTAGGCGAGTGACACTAGGTAGACACAAAAAGTTTTGGAGCGAAATGGATGTAAGGTATTTGCAGTACTACTTCATTTATTTCATGTAAGGTATTTGCGATAACAACAGTACTACTTCATTTTTCTTGATTTCTTTTATTCTGACGCAACAAACCCCACGTGTTTGGTATTTCGGCATCATTTGGTGGTGGTTAAATAAAAGATATAATTACTGGTGCCAATTGGAGGGTAAAACAATTCATAAATATCATTTAAAATGATGTCTGACCTACAAAGCGTAGCTGTACTGTACACGTGTACAGGGATTTGTTGACATGATTCTATAGAAGTTCATGACATCTAAATCTCGTGAATATCACTCAAATACGAATAATGTATGTCCGCAGAATCTTCAAAACGCCTTATTGATATTTTATGCAGGAAATATTTTTTAAACATAAAGACGTTTTTTCTGCTCATGTTAATTTCTTCGTTATCGTTGAGACCTGCTAGTCCATATGTTCTCAATAGCTCAAGTCTAAACATAATATTGGTAGTCATTTGTTGATTTTGCATGCGGTTTAGTCACTGCTTTTTCATTGAAACAAGATATAAATCATCGAGGATGAACCTGCCTCAAGTCAAAACTTCCAGATTCATTCATCTCATATTGACTAGCACTGCGAACGCAAGTACTATAATTCCGTTTTATCTTACAACAATCCCTTTATGCAAATAGTGAGCAAAATATTCTAAAGCATCGACAAGTTCACGACCAATCAGAAACCAATAACAATCGCGATAATTAAGGTGTTTATCTTTAACCAGTGAATTAATTAACCATTGATTATTTAAACATAAAGCAGCAAGTTTACTGCATAACACAGACGTTTAGTTATACTAGTCATAGTTTAACAAAATGTGTTAGTGTTATGTAAAAGGATACAATATAATGCAATTTGACATGTTTACCATACACTGTACTTAATAGGACAATGTACCATGTCATGTTAATTACAACATGATACAAAAATGAATCGCTGTTTCAGATATAGCGACGATATGTAAGTAGAACTTGCTTTAAATAAACTAATTTACTCTAGTGTGTTTACTTATTTCATATAAAGTATATATTTTATTGTGCCTTTCCAACAGTGGATCGAAGAGTTCGTTCTCTATAACTCATTACATATCAAACATTCACATTAAACAACCTGTATATTTTCTTGTTCTATTTTTGTTGAGACTGAAAAGTAGTTCTTTTTTTACAAAACTGTAGACATCTGTCAGAGCTGGATACGATTACTTAACGGTGTTTTCCCGCAATGTCATTACCTTCTTGGGTACCTTTTAAAATAATTTTGTTTTACTGTTTCCCTAACTACTTTCTAACTTCTTTAGTTCTTTAGACCAACACCCCCGGCCTAATTTTTTTTATCTAGGTTGCAAGGCTAGTAAGAGAAATGTTTTCTTATGACTAAGGTATAAGACAAGATATAGGTCAACCGAG